GATTGTTTTAATTCTATCCTTAATAGGCCAACTAATGTTTAGGGTGAACGGAGAGCATACCCTTGAGAAAAAGAAAATCGGGCAGTTGGAATGTACAGTTCTTTCACCGTCCTCTGTATCGGGAGTTGATTCTGTGCTTATTTGGCTTCCTGGAATTGGTGACAACCATGATGGGTTTATTGGAATTTTAAAAACCTTGCTTCCCGAAAATACAATTGCTATAGTTCCCTCTGCCCCAAAAAGAGCAGTAACAATGTACAGAGGACGTGTAACCAATGCATGGTTTGATGTAAAATCTCATAATCGAATTGCAAATGTTGAAGAGGATATCGCTGGTATGACTGAATCGAAAAAACTTCTTGACGAAATCATCTCTATTCAGATGATGTCGTTTAAATCACATAGGATTGTAATCGGTGGGTTCTCTCAGGGCGGTGCAATGAGTATATTAGTAGCTAGTCAATCACCTCACACATTGGGAGGTATTATTAGTGTGTCCGGGTTTGTTCCAATGAGAACAAAGTTCAGCAAAGCAAGCGACATGGTATTAAGGCAAAATGCTCAAACACCGTTTTATATTTTGCACGGAGATGATGATATTATTGTCAATTACAGTTTGATTGCAAAGAGGTCATACGATTGGTTGGAGGAGGTTAAAACCATAACAAATAGGAAGATTTACAAGCATGTTGGACACTTTATATCAGAAGAGGAAAAGAAAGACCTGAAAGCCATTCTTGCACAACTGTTTGTAAAATCTGTCGACGTTAGCGAGCAATGTCCTCATTGTAACTTTTAAATTGTTGCATCAAACATTAATTAAATACAATTGCTATCTATTTAATTCTGCGCTTTTTTAAGGATGAGATTGTCAAGTAATCTGGTGCCTCCAACCCTAATCGTTCCTGAAAGACATAGTTCTCTACCTGGCTCCATACTTTCAATGTTGAAGTTTGGAATGTGGTATTCCTTATTGGTTGAGATGGTGCCATAAACGTGGCCATTCTCCCAGTCACAAATACTCAAATAGTCAATTCTATATTTTGATGAATCTATTGATGAAAGATCTTGTCCAGAATGTTGTTCTTTCAAATTCTTGTTAAATAATTGCTCCAAATATTCATATGAATCCTCCAACCACCTTCTCAACATTTCATTCGTTAATGGTTTGGATGAATTTGTTGTTAATTTTGAGAATTCTTCTTCTGCCCTTCGAAGTGTTTGGTTCAAAATTGGTGCAATAAATGTACGATCCACAGGTGATAAATATTGATTTCTAGAAGACATTGCCAACCCATCCTTCTCACGAGCTGTTTCACCAATAATCACTTTTTCAATGTCCACATAATTTAAGTCTCTCACCACTTGTTTCACTACCATGCATTGAACAGCATCTTTTTGTCCAAACACAACTACTTGTGGTCTCACAATATTAAACAATTTTACAAGAATGGTTGATACTCCATCGAAAAATCCAGGGCGGCATTGTGCCTCTGGTTGATCTTCCAACCAATTAATAAATGTCTTCTTCGATTCTTGACTGGAAGGGGTATTTCTTAATGGATGTGTCTCTGCTGCTGTTTGAGTTGAAATATTACTCATAAATACTCGTGTCATGTATTCTTTTGGATAAATTTCAGTAATATTTTGTGGAGCAAGAACCAAATCAACACCAATTTCTTTCATCTTTTTTAAGTCATTTTCGAGAGTTCTGGGATACTTGTCAAAATCTTCATGAGCAGCGAATTGTGCTGGATTCACAAAAACAGATGTCACCACTTGCAAAAATTGATTATGAATGAAATCATTAATTGATACAAAATGTCACCTACCAATATCGGAATGCCGTTTGGCAGTCTTCATCAACTCCAAGTGTCCATCATGTAAATTTCCCATGGTCGGAACAAACCCAATCAACTTGTTTCCTCCCGAACCCAATAATTGTTTTCTCATTAAATTGAATTCCGATATACTTTTAGCCACCAACATTTGCGTGCTTCCTCTCATTAAGTGGTTCTTGTATTTTTTTGTAAATTGATTAGGGATCCCACTGTCATCGCAATGCAGCACCTCTTCTCAAAGCTAACAGACATTGAATAAGAACTCTTTCCAAAGTTTCTTGTCTTTGAGGGTTTTTCGGAGCTCAAGTGAATGCTCAAAATAAAATTCTCCGAATTTTCCTCAATTCTCACCTCGATTTCTCAAGCAGCATTGTTAGAATCACATGGAACATGTGTTACGTACTAATACGTAATGTGGATGACAATGTGCAGAGTGCATTCATGGAAACGGATGATTGCACAATGTTCCAAGTACTCGTGTCATCTCTCCGAAGAACGAAATATTCCACCAATAGGGAGGTGCAACAACAACATGGTTTGTTGATGAGCACAATGGACATGGTTAACCACCACTCGAGCTCTCTGAGAGGAGGAGTATTTAATTATTGATGCGCGTGCATAGACGAACCCTTCAACACTCAAAAAAATGAAAAAACAACTCTTGAAATGTGTCTCTGTGTATCACTCGACACGAGCTGTTTTTGTGAGGTCCAGTTTTGCATCCGTGTTGCTCGAGACTAGTGTTAAAAAAGGAAATATGGTCACAATCTCTAAAAAAGGAAGCATTACTTGCATTAGGGACATGGTGAGAGAAGATAGAAGAGAGTATTCAGTGCATCCATCACACAGCAGTACTGCATCCACAAATGGAGCAACAACAGATATATTATTGTTAAGAAGAGATTTAATTCCTGTCACTTTGAATTGCATTAAATACAAATATGAAAACAAAATTCCTTTGACCATGCTTACTGCTACAGACTATCCTTCAGCAAGTGTCATTGACCAAACTAATTGCGACATGATTTTAGTGGGAGATTCTTTATCAATGACTGCATTAGGACACTCAAATACAACAAGTGTCACAATGGATGAAATGATTCATCATGCAAAAGCTGTCAAACGAGGAGCAAAATATTCCTTCTTAATTGGAGACATGCCGTTCGGATCTTACACGACAGATGAAAATGCAGTAAATAATGCAGTAAGATTTATTAAGGAAGCAGAAATGAATGCTGTTAAATTAGGTATGTCACCTTAAATATCGAATGTTATACATCCATCCATCCATTCATTCATTCATGATTTGAAATTTCTTAAGAGGGAGGACAACGAGTGGCATCCAAGATTAAGGCAATCGTGGATGCAGGAATTGTGGTGGTAGGACATGTTGGCTTAACACCTCAATCGTCCAATCAGTTGGGTGGTTTTAGAGTGGTCGGTTCAAAGAGTTGTGACGAAGCCATCCAAGTTTGGAAGGACGCTCTTGCTGTGAAAGAGGCAGGAGCAAGTATGATTGTGCTGGAATGTGTTCCTCGCAAATTAGCTTCCTTAATCACAAAAGAACTTGGAATTCCTGTGATTGGTATTGGAAGTGGATCATGTTCTGGACAAGTATTGGTGTATCATGACATTTTAGGGATGTACAGCAAATTTACTCCAAAATTTTGTAAAAAGTATTTAGACTTGAATCCAACATTAATTAATGCGTGTGAACAATATGTGAGAGATGTGACCGTCCAAGATTTTCCAGAAAAATCTCATACTTTTATCATTAAGGAAGATGTCTACAAATATGTTTCAGAGTACATTGAAAAAGAAGCAAAAGAACTTCGAGAAAAGAATCCTTTATATCCACATCCTATTCAAAAAAAGAAAGACGATGCATCTAGTCCAATACCCACCTTCTCAATGGGAAAGAAGAAAATTTTAATATTAGGAGGTGGTTCCGTTGGATCTTTAATGGCTGTTTGTTTGCAACGTTCAGCAGAAAATCAAGTAAGAGTGGTGAACGGTCGATCATGTTCATCATGTTCATTGTCAGTCCAAGTGGAACGATACGTTAGAGAAAGTCGAGAACTCTCATCGAACAAGCATCTCGAATCGACTCATATCCAATATTTGACGCAAGATCAACTTCAGCAACATTGGGAGAATGAAATTGATCTCTTAATCATTGCAGTGAAGAATCATTCTACAACGGAAGCCATTCAGAATTTTGTGAAAACATTTCCAAACCTTAAACACATTAGAAATGTGGTGACTATTCAGAATGGATTTAACAACAGTGATGTCATTAGAAAGGCCTTTTCGACATTTCAACACAAAATGGACATTCCCAAAGTTATTCTTCCCATCTATGTGTACAGTGGAGTGAAACGATTGGAAGATCATGGAATTGACAAGAATGAACACAAAATGATTTTGGAACAAACATTGTCTCCAATCATCTCCATCAGTTTACCTAAAATTCTTAGTGGAACAGAATTGGGTCAATTATTTAGTGAAAATTCACAATTTCAAATCTCCTCTCAACTCTCTCCAACACTTGTCAATGGAGAGGAAATTTATGTGGACTGGATGAAACTCATTGTGAATTCTACAGTTAATCCTGTGGCATCATTGTTTCAAGTAGAAAATGGAGGTATCAACCAGAATCCTCACATGCAGCAAGTGATGAAACAATTGATTCGAGAACAATTGGATATTCTCAAGTTGATTCCTGGTGCGATTCATTCTCTTGGTGTCACTTGCCAAGAGTTGAAAGAGAAATCCTTTGAAGAGTGTATATTTTCAAAAGTAATGCAAGTCATTGAGAAAACAAAAACCAATCATTGCAGCATGTATCACGATGTCAGAAATGGAACCTTAACTGAAATTGATCATCTGAATGGTGCTTTTGTGGAATTAGCAAAACGTTTAAAGCTTCCTCCAAGTTCCTACTCTGTAAATAGTATGGTGAGTGAAATTATTAAGGCTAAAGCAACACAACGAGTGGATTAATAAATCAATAAATATCACACAAGCCTGGATCTAATGCGATCATTGGACATATTGTTGTGTTTCGGTTTTCAGATAGTTAAAATCTTCAACAGTTTACAAAAAAATGAAGCGAAATGCTGAATCATCTTCGATGCCATCGGAAAGAGAAGAAAGAAAGCACATTCGAAGAGATGAATCATCCTCCAATCAAACCTCTTTAGATGGTTTCGAATTTTATATAGCTACAAGATTGATTATACTTCGGATGAGAGTGATGAAAAAAATTGGAAAATAGTTCAATGTGTAGAATCAAAAACACAATCCACACCATCTTTTAGCAAAATAATTTGTCACATTGATGATTTAGACAACAGTAATATAGACACTGTACGAGTTGTATTTATTGTTAAAAATCATTGTGAAGTGGATTTGGGATTGAAATTTTCACTCGATGGCAAACACTATTCTTTCATGACTGTTACAGTGATGAAAAACGAAGAAAGGATCATCAAGCGATTAATTGATAAGCAATCAAAAGAATCAACATCCATACTTGTGAAAAAGAATGCCATTGCTGAAGATGACGATGACATTGTGAGCAAAGAAGTACTAGATCATTTAGGAACAATTTCTGTCTCAATATTTCGAGTGGAAGTAAGAACAACCGCATTGGAAACATCTAAAGAGGCCAATCCATCCACAACGACTCCAATTAAAATTAAGGAATCTATGAGCAAAACTAAAGACTTGTCTGTGGCTCTTGGGAAGGGCCAACCAAAGCCATTCGAGAAAACTCAATTTGTTTATCATGAAAACCTCAAAACCATAGAATTTGTCTATCACACAAAATTAGGATATCTATTCGAATTGAATAAGGTACACAAAGGTATGCAGTACAAGCAACAAAAAGAACACAATGATCGCTCCTCTCATGATACAAATGCTTCTTCTTTGCCAAAAGTTAAATCGGAATAGCTCGATTTCGGAATGGTGGTATCTGAATGCCAACAAAAATGATTTATTGCTCGGAGATCTTGCAGAGAATTTCATCCTCTCTATACATATCAAATTGTTCACCATCAAACTTAACCTTTCCTCCTTCATATTCTGGAAGTAAAACTTTATCACCAACCTTCAAGGAAACCTTGTCTCCAACTGCGACGACTTCACCCTCTGGATTTTGCTTTGTTTTGGCAGACTCTGGAACATAAATTCCTTGAATTTGGGTGGCTTCCGGAACTTTAACTCTCTTAATGAGAACTCTATCGAACAATGGGACTAATTTACGGAGTCTCTATTTGTTCACAATAGGTGTTTTTAAAGATGAAAATAAATTCCGACATTTTGATAATTGTTATTCATTTGTTAGGATTAAATTTATCATTCAATACAAGAAGAAAAACAAAATGTTCAATGGTCATCTTCCATCGAGCAACACACGGAACTTTTTTTACATACCGATGACATGATGGTGTTGTTGGTGATGAGAATTTTTTTCTTTCAAACTATTTGCTTCAATCAATTTCGCAAGCTTTTTGTCTCTCAAGAACATTCCGAAAACAAAACAAAACTCGTTCCGTTTGTTTTCTTTTGGCCTTATTGATTTTAATGAACAAATGTTTGCTTGAATAACCAGACGTTGCAATGCAGATTGAGTATCGAAAAGGGGAAACATACAGGTATCAAATTATTCTTATGATTTCTCGGCCTGCCAGGATATTTTCGTTCCCGTTTTCATCAGCAATATTCCATCAATTCCGATGGGCTCTTCCATTCAACAGGATACACACTGTTCTATTTGGACTGAATTGAACTGATCGTGATGAAAAGCATCTTATCCTCTAGCCTTTCTAAATACATCAATAGTTGTTCACGTTCTCACCTACTCACGTGGAACTTACTACTCTCCTTCAATCGAGGTAAATGGCTTTCGACTTTCGGAAGATGCCGGAACTGCTTGAGCCTTTTACAAAAAATTAAATTCCTAGCTTTGCGATCCTTTTGTCCAACCTCCAAAAAACAGACGACGAAAAAAAAGACCATACATCGCCACATCTTAACGTCTTTTCCGATAACATCAATTCTCAACAACAACAATGGCAGATTATTATGAAATTTTGGGCGTTTCTAAAACCGCCTCCACTCAAGAAATTCGTTCAGCCTATAAGAAACTTGCTTTGAAATACCACCCAGACAGAGCACCAGAAGACAAAAAACAAGAATACGAAGAAAAGTTCAAAGATATTGCTCACGCATATGAAGTACTAACTGACGAACAAAAGAGAAAAATTTATGATCAATACGGAGAAGAAGGTTTGAAGGGCGGTGCAGGTGGTGGTTTCCACGATGCTGCCGACATCTTTAGCCACATCTTCGGTGCCGATGAAGGATTTGGAGGTTTCTTTGGAGGTGGACGACGTCAAACCGGACCAAAGAAGGGTAAAACTATTGCTCATGAAATTCAAGTTTCGCTAGAAGATTTGTATAATGGAGCAACCAGAAAAATTAGAGTTACACGAACCCGTATTTGTACGCACTGTAAAGGATCTGGTGCCACAAAGGAGGACGCCGTAATCACTTGTAAATCATGTCAAGGAAAGGGAAAAAAGGTCATTACAAAGAGCATGGGGCCTGGTTTTGTTCAACAATATGTTACTCCTTGTGAAGTTTGCGAGGGTACCGGAAAGAGTATCGATAAGAAATTCATCTGTAAGGAATGTCAAGGAAACAAAGTTACCAATGATGTCAAAGTTTTGGAAGTCCATATTGACCCTGGTATGAAAGAGCAACAACAAATCGTTTTTGAAGGAGAGGCCGACGAGAGACCTGATGTCCTTCCCGGAGACATTGTATTTATTGTTCAACAAAAACCTCACCCATATTTCACACGACAAGGAAATAATTTACATATGAAGAAGAAGATCAACTTGTTGGAAGCCTTAACTGGTGTAGAATTTTCTGTGAAACACTTGGACGGAAGAACACTTGTCGTCCGATCGAAGAAAAATCAAGTTATCAAACCAGGAATGGTTATGCAAATTACCAAAGAAGGGTTTCCCAATCCATAAGTCTCCTTTCCAAAAAGGTAATCTCTACATTGAATTCGAAGTTGAATTCCCTGATCATATCCCTGAAACACTCCACCAACAACTGTCTAAGGTTTTACCAATGAAGGTCAATAAGGCTGATGTTATGGATGAGTCCTCAGATAACGTTGAGGAGGTGTATTTAACTGAAGCTGACCTCTCTCAGAACAATGGTGAAAGTAGGAATCAATATGACAGCGATGAAGAATATGAAGGTCGTCGTGGACAAAGTGTTCAATGTGGAACACAATAAAGGAAGTGCACTCAAAACCCTTTTCCTTTGCATCTATTGTCTCTCAAACATCTGACACCAAATCTAAGCAGGTCCTTCATCACAAGTTCTTCCTCTCAAAAACACTCCCAAGAACACAATACTACTACCTCATTACAGCTACACATCTAAAAAGTTATCCCAACAAGATCAAACAAATATCAATACTTCTAAACAATCCTCTAAGCGAAATTCAGAACCAAAGACTCACCTTATTTCCTTCGCGGAACAAAAGAATACTAATCTCGTTCCTTCTTTCGCTTTCAAGGAAAATGTTCCTTCTTCCAATTCAGAGAAGATTGTTCCTCCTTTCAATTCAAAGATGACTCTTGTTTCATCTTTGAATGAAAGTTTTAAATTTGATTCTCCCTTGTTTGAGAATGAAGAGGGGAATGAAGAGGAGAAGGTTAATGATGACGAAAGTATCAACTTGAATGATTCTATATTTCATGATCAACAATGATAGTTGTAGATTCTGATTCGAATAAATTCTTCAATTGACCACTTTGGTCAAACGGCTCAAAATTTATTTTATGATAACCTAAACGAACCGTCAACATCCATGTTGAAATCTAATTCTCAACTTGAATTCAATGGCAAATCATCGGATGATGTTCTTTAGAAACTTCTCTCAGATTCGCCAAATGCATTCCATCCCATTCGAAGCCTTTATTTTAAAGAATATATCATCAGCCACTCGCTTTCGAATCTCTTTTTCTTCGGAATGGTTTCTTAAACAGCATTAAATCCATTCATCTCATCGAATATTGTATCCCTGAATCGTTTAGATTATCTAGCTACTCTCTTTCATGTTTAGAAAAGTTGATCACGGATCAATGCGATTTAAGATTATTTAACGAGCCTTATCTACCTGCACTGGTTTCATTGAATCTTCAAAATAATCCAAACCTTGACATGCTTTCAATTAAGGTACTCCTTCTACGAATTACATTAGGATATTAGCCTTATACCAGGACCGTCAAGTTGGATGATCGATTTGAAATGATTCCCTGCATGCGAACTTGGTCGGAATTCATGTCTCTCGACCAAGTTCAGTTCATCTTTTCATACAGTGATGATGAGGAAGAATTGATGGTAAAAACAACAACTGGCCCAGGATACCTTTTCAATAAATCAATCATCTTCTTCTTCTTCTCGACAATTGTTTGACATTCGTTGGTTGATACAATAAAACCAAACCAATAAAAAAAGTGAGTTGGTTGCGAATCTGATTCTCTCTTGCGCGGGTTCTCCATACAACCTCTCTAAGGAAAAAAATGTACTCCAAACCTCAAACGATGTATTCACGAAACGGAGCCGCTAACTCGATGCCCGCTCTGAGAAGAACCAGCACGCCATCAGCAATATATGATGATATAGATGATAATTCCCGATGCGATTCCGAGTTTTCATTCAGTGAATACATGCCCCTGCCATACAACCGCAGCTCCTCTCATGTAGAAGAGGATGAAGAATATTCATTTGACCCAAAAAGATCGAAATTTAACTCTGCCCAAAGATCGTTCTTCAATAGATCTAGGACTGCAAGGAATGATATTGAGAATTTGAGGGAAAGTTCTTTGGCTGCAATTCGGGAAAGCCAACTAACAAGAATGGAGTCGGAAATTGGACTTATTCAATTTAATCTCAATGAATTGAAGAGAGAAATGATGAGATTGACTGGTTCATCGCAACAAGACCGAAAAACCACTCAACAGCTTCAACAAGAGTTGAGAAATGCTGATCGGTTGCTGAAACAACTCGAAGAGGAGGAACTAAACATTTTCAGAAAGCGCAAGAACCACTCCAAACGGAAAGAAAGGACCAACCAAGACCAGTCCCGTAAAGCTGTCCTCAGATACCTCAAATCATCAAGATGAATCCGTTGAGACAGAACGGCTTATTCAGGATGAATTGGATATTTTGAAGAGAATTTATTCGGACAACTTGGAGTTTTTGCTAGTAGTTCTAAAGGAGATGAAGTTTATTACCACTAACTCTGCAAGAATGGAGTGTCTTGATTTTCTTTCCCAAATTAGAAAACGGGAAGAAAGTGAAATAGAAAGATTGAAATCTCCAAAGAAAAACATTAGTTTTTGCGGCAGAGAGGCTAATTCTAACAGTTCAAGAGGCAATATCACTTCAGGAGATTCAGTTTCGGTTACAACTTCCCTGCGGGTTGGTGCAAGCTCAGATGCTGGAAACGACGACCTTGAAAGCGTTTCCTCAGAATTTGACGACAACAGAAGCGTAAATGAATTAATGACCATGATGAACGCAAAGGTCGAAGATCTCATCACTAAGCTGGCGAATGAAAAATCGCTTGAAGACGTTGTAAGCCCAATCTCAAAAGGAGATGTAATCCATTTATGCAGAGAAATTTACTCATTGTTGAATGAAATGAGTGTGGAGTCTGATATTGAGATAATCAATTCGTGTTTTGATGTTCTAGAATTATACATTGGAAAAGATTTGGATGAAGAAGTTCAAGAGGAGATAGTTACAGACCTTATGGATATTTTAACTACCTTCTTATTCTTCTACAGAGCTGTTGGAAGACTTTTGAGTCAGGCAGAGTTTGTAGACGAAAAGCTTCAAAGAGAATACGTGGAACAAAGATTCGAAAAACTAAGAGAAAAGAAAGACCGTGATTTGGAAAGCATTTTAACCACACGTGCGCAACTAAGGGCTGATTCTTCAAGAAAATCCATTGATCAAGAGTCCGATTTAAAGGAAGGTGAATCGAGAAAGGAAGATGGAGAGGAAGCTTCAACAACTGAAAAAGAGGAACAAGACAATGTATTTGACAATTTGATGACCCTTGAGGAGTTGATGTATCGTGATAGCTTGGAAAACAATGACAACGATACCATTGAAACCAAAGAAGAAGCTGAAGATGTTGATGAGACACCAGGAGTACGTGCTGACACAGTTGTATCAGGAAAAGGCATTGTATATTCCAGTCCTAAAACAGTCACACCAAAACAATCAACCCCGCAAACAAACAATGGATCGCCTTCTCAACAACCACGGTCACAAAAGGTAACAGAGGAATCTTTGAGACCTTTTGTGAGTACAATCAATGAAGATCGGCTCAAGGAAATGATGGAAAAAGAAGGCGACGAGATGGACATGCAATTTCTGTTGAAGGTTGGTTCTATTAAGGCAAGCGGAGTAAATCAGGATGACAGAGACTATGCGGAGTTCGCCTCAAACTACTTTAGCACCAATTGAAACAAGAATCTCTAAGGATTTTTTATTGTACACTAACAATTTATTTAAAAGACCTATGATATCCTTGTACGTAATATCTCAAATATAAAGGCAACAACATAAAATGCAAAAATGATTGTGGCGCAATCCTCTGAAAGTAATCCATTAATTCCTCTCGTTATTCAAACAATTTTCGCCTTCTTTGTTGAGTTATATGATATTCATAGTTGGGCAAGAGGGTCGATGAAAGAGCTTTTCCTCTTGTTTCGAGCTCAAGCTCCCTCATGAGAATGTGTTGTTCTTCCTCTTGGGTATATTTGTACTGATAATTTTCATACTTTTTAAGTGCTGACTCAACATCTTCATCATGTTTTGTCTGATCTTGAAGAATTCCTTGCTCCCTTAGGAATCGCTTTGTGTCATGAATTCTTTGATTGGAGTTGGAAACCATGCGGTTGTTATCATATTTCTCGATCATTTGAGCAAACACACTTCTTTCTTCATCTGTTTTACATATAAACTTTTTGATATAATGGTGGGCAGCTTTCCTTACAACTTCTAGCCTTGATTTTTCGAAATAAGCATCAAGATTTTCAATGTCATGGTTATCAGTACTAACGTAAGAAGGATCAGAATAATGAGATTCATATTCTAAAGTTTGTTCAAGAGAATGAAGATAGTTTAGGATAAATTTGTAACCATCATAGGGAGAATGATTCCTTTCATTCTTCAAAATATTATTCACACAATAATCTCGCACCAATTCTAATCTCTCATTCACTTTGTAAGGAATGTACAAAGCAACCTGTTGATGGGCATCGTTGGGAATTTTTGAGAGTAATATAAAATCACTGATGTCATTAATAATGTCAGAAATTGTGGATGGTTCTGTAATTTCTCTTTTGCAAGAAATGAGTTTCTTTAAAATAGATTCTTCGTCATGTCCTTGAAAAACCCACTCAAAAAGTAAACAAGCTGCTTCCAGATCCTTGTCATATTTGTTTAGATACGGAGAAATATGTTTGAATGACTCATGCTGGTCAATGTAGTCATTTGCTTTTTTGAGAAGACTTTGAACAAGTGGAATGTTATGTAAAGGTCCATCCGATGAAATCAATTGTTGAAACTCGGTCAATGACATTTCCCCAATTTCTTCTCTAAAAGCTTTAAGGAATTGATAGGACCGAATTTGAATCAGTTCTATTTGTTGATATTCTGGAGATTTTTCAAATAAAAAGCGAGCAATGTCATCACTCGTGATTGAACCTATCCTGTGTAAAAATGTCGGATATGCAACCACCTTATGTCCTCCAAGCATTTCTTCAAACTCTTCTCTTTTCAAAGCATTATTTTCAACTTCCATTTTTGTTAGGTAGACCTTGATACGTTCATCTAATAATTTCATGTACTCTTTTGAGAGATTTTGAGGTAGAATATATGCTTTCTTCTGCTGATTAGGTCCTACAAACTGTTTTACAATCAAATTTTCCAAAATGCATTTCTTTTTCTTGGCTTGGTAATAACTCAATTTCTTTAGAAGCGATTTTGAGATGTGCTGACTGATGACTGTTTTCATTTCTGAGCCTAAAGAATCCCACACATGTTCTAACTTGTCAATAAATTGCAATCTTTTTCTCAGATCATTCTCCTTGTCCTTAATAAATTTCTCCAATTCCTTGATCTTGTTTGAGGGATGTCTGTAGAGTGGAATTTTGATGCGTAATGGACCAATAATATCCCGATATTGATTCATCCAATTTTCAAGCTCTCTTGAGAGAGAGAAGGAGGAAGCAATTCGTGATCCACTACCAATGACTCTATTTTGATACGAACTATTACCCCAATATGTAGAATTGGATAAATCAGTATGATCCTGTGACAGAGTAATGTAAATGTCCTTCTTTTGTCTTTCATGGTTTCTCGACGTGTCGTTTAGATAATTAATATAGACTTTCTTTGAGAAGTCGACAACCCCTCTGTAATTGCTATACTTTTTTGAAGTAAAAGTAAGAGAGGCTCTATCATCAATCATTTCAATCCCTGGTATTGGAATGAGTCTTCTTTCAAGAAGTTTCATGATAGTCATCGATATTACTCTAATTGCTCTTTTAGATGCATTTTGAGGAAGTTTTTCGTTCTTATCAATATTTTCATTAATGAATTTTGAAGAAATAGCTTCTGTTTCTCTTTTTAAACGTTTGAGCTCTGAGATTATGAATTGTACTAGAGATCTGCCACTCTGTGCATTTGGCAAGAATTGATCAATCAAAATTTCCAATAATTCTTTTGGAATTCTTCTATATTCTCTCTCTTTGAGTTGCAGTTGGTACAGTGCTGTTCTAAGAGCATGTCTAAATTCATACATGGTGATACTAGCATCTCCCAAAATTCCAAGAAGTATTTCGAAAATCTCGGCCTTTATCTGCTCCCAAATTAACTCTCTATTTGAAATTGAGGAATCTCTGTGTGACAGCGGCGTGGCATTGTCTTCTCTCTGATCAACTCTTTCATTGTGGTTGTATAACGTGTTTCTTTTAAGCCATTCATTCTGATCGTTGAAAAAGTCAACCACTTCTTCATTTTGCCACATCAAGCTATCCATCATTGATTTGATAGAATGAACAATATCTTCTTCGCTACAATTTTGGAAAATTTTCTTTTGAATATAATTTGTCAATTTTCCATACATGTTCTTAAACTTTGGATGAACATTTAGAGCATTCTTTTCAAGAGATCTTTCTTTGACTTGTTCTTTGCTATTAGAAAACAAAAAAGGACACACTTCTAGCAGTATTCTATTTGTCCTTTGTTTTAATTCATTCCTACTCAACTGCACACTATCATTATGCGCTAACAATTTCATTGAATCATCTAACACTGCTTTTTCTACTATTTTTTCAATATAATTTGATTTCGGAGTCGCATTAACTGTGCCCGATGATCCATTATGAACCGTATCGGTAGGTGAATTTATTATTTCTCGGTCAAGATATGCGTCCATGAGATGACAAGAGCACCCGTTCAAAGCGATTGGTGAATGATCTTTTGTTGTTGTTAATCATCAAAATGATGAAAAAGATTTGATGAGAACGTAGGAGCAATTAAAACATTTTTTTCCTCTCTCGAGTGGTTGGATTTTGTAATCCCAATTGTGAAAGTATTGGCCATTCTGCAGGTTGGCACGATCAAAGTGTTTCAAAAGGAATTGTTGATCATCTTCAGCGCAAACATTGCGACCGTATCATGGGTCATCCATAGAACTATGTATTGTTCGGATGAATAAACACAAATGTTTGGTTGTAAAGTTTGAGTGAAATGGTAAATTGTTCTTTCACCAGGATTAACTAAGAAAAGTCAAGGCAAAGTATTATAAATCCGAAAACCAAGGTTGTAAAACCAAGAACGGAAGCGATGCCTAACAACAACAAATATAAATCTGAAAGTGATTCAACAAACAGCGCTGCTGACTTGAGACGTCAATGCCGTTCAGACTCTGAAACACATTCAGTAACACCCAGAAAGAAATAATCAACGAAATTCAAAGACTTTTCTTGCCACTCTTGAGGGCTAATTACCGAAGAGGAGTTTGCTGCAATGAAAAAGAAAATCATTTTCAACATTTATAACTTTGTTGCACAATTATCAATCAATTCAATAAATTCAGCAAGAGTTCTGAAAAATAAAAACAACAAATGATCCACTTGATTCAATGGGAGAATAGATTTTTAAAAACAACGAACTTCAGCAGGATTGCTCGTTATATTGTCTCATGAGTGTGAACTCTATTTCCTTAATATTGATCATTGAGTGGCTTATTACTAGTCTTCACGGAGGAGTCTATATTGCAAGTCGACAATTTTCGTTTGGATATTGTTCCTCCTTCACCACTTCCAATGCCACTACCACTGGCAGCAGCTAAATTTTCTTCAAACATTTCCACTAAATTTTGCAAGCGAGGTGAGACAGCAACAGTTCGACCATTCGAATAATAGGAAGAAGAGATACTACTGCTCGTTGTGTTGTTAGTGATGGCATTGCTGGTGTTGTTGGTGTTGTTTGTATTCATGACAGTACCACTCGAATGGATTGCATTAGAACCTTCAAATAAGGCTGCTAATAAACTAATTTTAGAGGTTCTTCGTTCCATAGAGGTTGCAAAAGTACTTGAATTTCGAAGTGCTGAGGAGAAGGTGATTGGAGAAATGGAGCCAGACAAGTCGAACGAGGAGGAATTAGGAGAGGATGTTCCTGAAGTAGTCGTTGTAGGACTTTGATTGTTAGAATGTGCATTAGGAGTGTTGGAAGTGAGATTCATAAGATCCAAGGGAGTGACATCTGACAACTTGGTTCTACTAATGAGAACAGCAGAGGATAATAGAGTTTTACGTTCTCGTCTCGAATTGGCCACAATCTGTTGATATGAATCTGTGTTGGTAAATCGACAAAATGTATCAAATAAAACCATTTCAACTTCCTTATTAAGTCGATCAAATAAATCAAGAGGTAATTTCACAAACGTGTCATTCTCATCTTTGGTTCTAAAGATTTGTCGACGCACTGTGGAAATTAATTTCTTGTTCACATTGACTTCTGAAGGTGAATCTGTGACGAGAAATTTGTCAAATATTTTCTTTGCAAATTTCCATCGCTCTTCCACATCTGTAATCGTTTTGTACTTTTCCACATGTTCATAAAATTCAATATTTTCAGTACTGCATTCAATCTCTGCATATGCTCTAAAATAAGATCTGTAATTAGATTGATTTCGTAAAATCTCATCAAAAGTAATTGGTTTGGAAGTGTCATGATCAGCAAAATCTCCAAAAAGTTTACAATTGGATGTATAATCCACAGGTTTGTAAATGATTTGGAATGAAAGAGATGGAAATTGAGATTCTTGATTCGAAGAGGCGTCATTCCTTTTGCACACAGTATACTCTTCTAATTGTTCTACTGAAATATTCGATTGTTTCAATAACTCTAACAATTCTTGTTGTTTGTTCTTTCTCAAATATTTGTAAATGAAATACAAGACTCCAAAGAGAGATGAATTGTGTGGTGAAAAATCAGATCGATAGGTTCTGAAAATTTCTGACATTTCAATGCTCTCATTGGTGATGCTAATTGTGATATCATCATTCACAAATCGTCGTGTCGCTTGATCGATGACTCTCTCATAATTCGTTTGATCCACTGCTGCAGGTAGAGGACTTGTTCTTTTACCATCGCATAAAACAAAATGAATTCTTGGATCGAAACGTTGAGATTTTGAGTCGATGGAATGTTGATCCTCTAAAAAGTTCACTCGATATTCATACAAGTAGTATTTCCAATCAGGTAATGGTTCTTCTCTCAAAATATATTGTAAAATTTCATTCATACTAAGTTTGTATCGTCCCACCAAGTAATTGGGTTGATTCCAAAACTTGATACATTCTTCCTCAGTGGGTAAATATCGTTTTGTGCAAAAGGAATGTATCAACATTAAATTATAGAGATTCATGAAAAATGTCTTCTTCTGATTCGAATCTAACTTGAGAGGATCAAAGTGTCGAAGTAAGCTTGTATATTTGACAGTCAATTTAAAGTGTTCAGATTGTAAAAAAGAATTGTAATCAATGACTTTTTCTGTCAAAATAATGTAATCCTTTTGAATCATGGTGATGAGATTTTCCAATGCAATAACCAACTTGATGGTGCAATTAGGGAAATTCAATAAAAATCACAGATCCTTCAGAAAATGGTGTTGAATAGGTGGTATCTTTAGGAACAGCTCCTTTGTGAAAGAGTTTTGACATTAATTCATGTTCTGACAAAATAGAATTACTCTTTTTCTGTGGAATGATGTTAATAATTTGATCATTATAAAACACTGGATTATCGTCATCACAATAACGATAGAGATTTTGTGGAGAAAATTCAATAAATCGTTGTGGATCATAGGGCACTGGATTCAATAGTAAAATGTTACTTGTGAGATCTCTATTGACACCATCACATGATCTTCTCTGTGTATCAATGAGGTAATTCAAAAACATGTGAACATCTGGTGGCGTGAAATAGAGTTGAGCCTTTTTGGAAATGTACTCAAAAAGTTGTGAACCATAAACTGTTAGTTTTTGTTTTTCCACATGAATTACAATGTCTTCATCTCTGCGATCTTCTAAAGAGTATTCAGAAAATCTTCGATGAAAGGAATCATTTCGACATGATTCACTAAAAAGATCTGACTTGGATCCCCTACTACTACTACTAATATTGCCACTACTACTACTCGAAGCTGTTCGTTGATGCCTAATGGAGAGAATTCTATTGAATCTTGATCGAATATCAGAATTTTCACTCTTCTCATAAATATTACATCGATTATAGATTAATTTGTTGGATGTGGGAGGACATTCTGCTTTCATTTGATTCATAAATAAAACTAAATCTGAGTGTTTGAAACCATCAGGTAGCAATACATTATGAGTTTCATGTTCAAAAAGAGGATTACAAAACTCTTCATATTCTGTTTCGAGTGAAACATGAATGATAAATTCCTCATTCAGCAGAGATTGCTGCCATTCATGACTTGTTTGTACAGAAATTGCATTATGAACAGTATCTGATGAAATACTTCCACTAGACCTATTCGATTGTTTTCTCAATAAACTCTTTCGTTTCTTGGACATACTGTCTTTTTCTTTTTTGTGAGGATGGAGTTGCATTGGATGTGAAAATTACTGAGCTACTTCTTAATTTGGAAACTTTTGTTTTTAACACACGTCCAAATGCTTTATCTGCAGCTTCTGTTCGCACAACTCCGTATAAACTTAGAGGATTTACAATTTCAATCCATTCTTCACTTGGAGTCACACTCTCTAAATGTTTAATATATGGATTTCTGTTAAGAATGGATGATGAATGCTCTCCATTGTTGCTCTTGTTGTTACTATAACTGCCACTAGCAGCAATACTACCACTACTACTTTCAGAATTATGACATTCATCATAGTGACAGGTATGATAAAACAACACTTGTTGAGGACTTAAAGGTTGTTTCTCATAAAATAATGGATTCAAAAAACATGCATCAATGTGATCTTCTTCATAGAGAGGATTTGTGTGTTCCATCCAAGTTGATAAATCTTCAAAGAGATCTTTTCTTTGAATGGTATTTTGTTGAAATCTGTTAATAATCACTTTTCCAGAGGTTGTGTCATAATAGTCATTTTGAGCATCAAATAAATCTTTTGCATCCAAATCAATTTCTCTTTTAGTGAACTCATGATCATCATCTAAACTTTCACGATATCTTACAATAAAAACAGCACAACCTCCCGATGGATCTCTTTTCATAATTTTACATTTTGAAAAGTGACATGGCATGGGCAACACTCGATGAGAAATGCATTCGAGTCGATTGTACTGTTTGATAATTCCATATTGATTAAGTTGTGAAAGTAGAGACATGGAAGAGTCAGAAAGTCGAGGGGAAGGTGAATTAAAATTCAATGTGGAGGATGTTTCTAAATTTGTCAATTCATCGATACTGTCAGTCTCGCCACCCACACTTGACACTTCTGATAAATCATTGAATGAACTGATGTGTTGTTGACCAAAAAAGCTGTTATTTTCCACTGAAAAGAAGTCATCCGCATGTGAATGATTCAATGTAACAGCAAGCACAGGGGTTGATGAATTCATATTGAACGAGGTATCCATTTTGTTGGTGTTGGTGGTGGTAGCATTTGCTGTGGTGTTAGGGAGAGTTGAAGTCATCATCATGATGGGAATCGAGGAATTTATTTGTGTTGCAGCAGAAGTGCTGGTGGACATGTTGTTATGTGTTGTGAAGTGAAATAGAATCAAAAATTAATGCTGGATTGTGAAATATTATTACGTATGTGTGTGCGAGATCACAACAAGAAGGCATGGACAAATTAAAACGCTATGGAAGTGTGAGCTCTGTACAGACACTGTTTCACAATTATTATGATTGTTATTATTGGATGGCGAATCAAGTTGTTGTTGCAACGGTGATGAATAATTTTTTGTCAGTGATGATGATTGGTGTCGGCTGTTTGTTGGTGATGCGAGGAAAAGTCGAACGAATCTGGAAAGGTTGAACTCATCTTCTCTCAAGTTTACCAAATTGTTCAAAAAAGGCAATTCAATCCAAATGGCCATGAAATGATCAAATCTCATTAGTTTCTATAATAAAAGGAGCCTCTATTTCTTTCTTGCTCTTGAGCGGTGACTTCAATCGTATTCACTTGTTCTTCTCCTTCCACATTGAGAGCAGATGAAGTAGTAGTAGAAGTGATGGTTGAAAGTTTTTTCTTGAGATACAACACAAATACCACCACAAGAATGACACTAGAAACAGTTGCCAAAATAATGACCACAATGGTCACTCGTACATGTTGAGGAATGTTCCGACCTGGAGAAATGTCACTTGTCCTATGACTTTTTGAAGAGGATGGATGCTGAGGAGTAGCACCACCACCACTTGAAGAAACATGTTTCGATGGAGAAGGAAAGGATGGAATTGGAGAGGATCCATCATTTCCTCCTTGGAGTGTCAGAGAGGCATCCGTAAGAAGGGAAACTCCTTCATTGGTCGTATAGATGGACATGGTCCACACTCCTGCACTTGTTTCATTCCAAAATTGTACACTTGTGAATGGTTGATGATCCATGTTGGGTGTACGATCGTTGCGTCTTCCTCTTCCCATCACACTAATGGTTCCAGAGGGAGAACGTAATGCAAAATAAACCATTCCTCTCTGAGAGGTGGTCACTGAAAGAGTTAAAATTGCATATTCTACTCGAATGTTGCTATCCACACGGAAATTGATGAGAGTAGGATTGGATTGATCATTCGAAATGGTTAATCCATCACTTCCAAGAGAGTTTTGAGGAATTTTGTAATTAAGGATTTGATAGGGAGAAGTTAATAAGGACCATGTTTGAGCAGCAGTCACAGCCTCGTATGCATTAATTCTTCCAAATCTATACAGAATCATTGAATAATATTTGATGGAAATGAATCACAGTATTTGTTCAATAATATGAATAAAAAGATATTATTTTGTCCAATAATACGAATCGAGTATTTCCATACAGAATCACATTGTTGATAACATTCACACAACACATTCAAAATAATAATAAATTCAACAACAATAATAATATAGATTTCATCATTTTCAAATAAATCGTGAGGGTGAAGATGCACATTCAAAGAGAATCAACGATTGATCTTTACACTTACCCATAGTCAATAGAGTGATAGAGACCAGCTCCATTTCTAATCCATCGTGGATTAGAAAGATCAGTTCTTGTAGAGGTTTTAACAAGAATATGTTGTACATCTCTCCATGTTAATTCTGGTCGTGCTTGTAACATGAGTGCAATAACACCTGCTGCAAGAGGACAACTCGAACTAGTACCACCAAAATCACTCATACAATCTCCATCGACATATCCTTGTTCTCCTCTTCGATCGGTGGTCACAATTTTGCTTGTGGATCTTCCAAACGAAATGAAATTACTTGAAGGAGCATTAATTAAGGTACTCGTTCCTGACTCACTATAACTACTCGCAAGACCCTTCCAATCGGTTGCAGAGACACAAATCGTGTATGGACTATTGGCCAATTCATCCCAATCCGATGTGTCTCCATAACTTGCTCCATTTCCACTTGCCCAAACATAAATATTTCCTAATCCACCTCGACCATGATTCACACCATTTCTCAATGCTTGTGCAGAAAGAGGATATCGTTCGAGAGTCATTCCATCATCTGGTGGTCCATAAGAATTACTATAAATATGAATTCGATCATTGAAGTGCGAGAGGGCATTGGCAACCACAGCATCTGAAAATTCATCACCCAAGGTTCGAATGGACACAATATTCGATTCAAAAGCTGCACCCACTCCACACTTGTGATTACTCGCTCTTCCACAACATACTCCAGCACAAGCAGTACCATGATTATCAGAGGTAAGAACAGGTGTTCCATACGGAGATGGATTTTGTCCAGAACTAATGTCTGCACTCAATTCATTCTTCTCAAATCCACAAGAAATATCTTCATGAGGATAATCCACTCCATCATCGACAATGGCAACGGTTACATTTCTTCCAGCGATTCGATAATCATTCCAAACACGAAATATATTGACATCATTTCCAATGGTGCCTTGATCCTTGTCGCCATTCCACAGGATTTGTTCTTGACCTGTATTCAGTAAATGCCATTGCAATGGATAGAGAGGATCCAAACTTAAAATCTCTTGTAGAGAAGCCGATTGGTTGTTGGATAATTGATAATTGGCTTGACAATTATGTTGTTGAAGTGAAGAAGAAGAAGAGAAGGTTGTTGTTGTTGTTGAATGGGTTGTCAAGGACTCACAAACTCCGAACCACGACAGTATCATCAAGAAGGAAACAATTCCGATGACTCGAATCATGTCGTCATGATGATGAAATTTTGAAATAAAGGGTGAACCATTTCTAGGACTTGTTTTTGAATGTTGGATAGCAACAGTTGTTTCATGATTCGAAGAAGAAAAACTGTCCGAACAACAGATTGGTCTTGTCAGCAGTGGAGCGACAAGCACATCTGATTGTTTCATTACAAAAAGTTGGATATTTTTTTTTGGAAGGACGCTACACGCATGTTTGTGAACTGTCGTTCGGAACAAGTGAATGGATGATCACCAATTATTATAATGAAAATATCGTATTCACTTGGTCATGTGTCACATTGGATGCCATATGGTGCTCACAGAGAGGTTTAATAAATAATGGTACTTGACTGGAATTGCTTAATTTCATGATCATTGTTGATGTGAAATGAACAAAGTAGAGGTGAGCAAGGAATAAATGAATGATCATGGTACTGCAGTACGAAAATAAACGTCTGACCTAAATGGAGCTCGTTTGATTAAACTCGCCAAATTCTGTTTCATATATTGAATGTCCTTTGTGTCAATTCCAATAATTAAGCTCTCCAGTTGCCTATACACTTGCGAGTACAGACTCAGTTTCAATGATTTGTGAATATTGGGGAAGGTTGGAGTCATGAGAGAACAATGCACCTCATCAAATTCATCCAAATTTGAAGGAGGCGACACCCCCACTCCATAAATTGACTGATTGTTACAGTTATGATATTTTAGTTGTACTCCATGTTGTTCTGGTTGTTGTAACACATGAACGTCTGTGAGGGAATGGATGGTTTGAAGCCCTCTCTCAGAAAAAGCGATCGTATAGACATTCAACAATCTATGATTCGACTCCAAGGTTAGAACTTGCAATAAATCTTCACCACAACACATGTCGATCACTACTTCAGGAAATTGTAATGTGATTTCTTTGAATGTCAATCTACTACTAATCATGTGACACAATGTTCTTTGATCTTCCAACAAAAAACTCGCTGATTTACCATATGCTGCAATTTTAACAATTTTCTGATTTTCATAGTTCGAAATTAGGATTGGTTCAATATCCTCTGCACATCTTTTGATAAGAGTCCCAGAATAAAAGGCGTTTCCATTCGATGTTAAGTAACATATGAAAGAAAATCCGCTTGCCATGTCAATAACATTATCGTTTCTATGCTTTTCATCCTTAATAAATTGAGTAAACCTCAAGGGTGTCAAAATTCCGTAAAAAGAGGGTGAAGAGAGTCCAATAGTCCGAATTGAATTATCACCAGCAACAACCACCTCATGATTTCTGCACAAGCACGCTACGAAATTATTTCCACATTTTACATTTTCAATTTGGAATTGATTACATGTAAAAAACTTTCCTTCATCAAATTCTGAATGTTGATAAGCAGTTTTAGGCGGTCTTATTTGATAGGCAAGAGGTCTATTTGTGAAGCTGTCGTTCTTGTCAGCAACAAATACCTTTTTGCCAGAAAAACCGTCCATTCCATAAACATAAACACCGTTGGATTCTGTTACAATTGCCATTTTACTTCCATCATTTGTGGCAATGCATTTCACATTTTCATTTCCAAACATCCACTTTGGAAGAATGTAGCAATCTCCAAAGGGTGTGGTAATTGTTTCCAGAACTTGAAAATAAGATTGTGTTTGTTCTTTTTCTTTCACACTAAAATGCAAATTATTCGATTCAATAGCTTTCATGACTTGTCGATACGAATCGCTCTGACAATAAATTTTCAAAAGCTCAGTGTTGGTTTTTGTCTTGTTCGCTCTCGATTGACCAACACAGTTCATTAATTTGGAAAGTTCATGAAAGGTTGAATATTTGAAAAACACAGAGGAAAATTCTGAAAAGAAATGACTTTTCATCACATCGGTACTGGTGACTACGTTTTTATCCAAACTATGGACGTGAGTTTCTTCCAATACAATAAATGAATCATCCTCACATAAACCATGAAATTCTCTCATGACATCCAATAGTGGATTCCTCATCAACGACGAATTGGATATGAGTACTGTGCCATCGGTAGTTAATATGATATATACTGGTGATGGATTGAAAGGTATTGAAATAATTTGATGAATCGGAGGATGAAAGAGAGAGCAACAGTTCATCATCATTGAATCTTTTGGAATGGACATTTTTTTCGTTCGAAACAAGAAAAGGCTTTTCTTGTGCTCATTATTGAATATATCGTTGCAACAACATGTTATATCGACAAACTCAATCTTTCAAGAATTACAAAATCTCATCAAAGGTTCTTTGTTGCTCACTTTTGGATCATCCAAAGGAATGGTAAGTAAATATCGCTATACAGTGGAATGGTGTTTATTACTACTAGTAGAAGTATTAGAGTGTGAGAATGAAAGAAAAACAACAACGTAAATAATCATTACACAACGTCATAGGTATCATTACACATGAGCCAAGTTAGTCTCTTGATCGATGGCTGCTGTTGTTGCATTGGAAACAGAAGCTGCTGTTGTTGTGGAATCTGGAAGCTTGGAATCGGTATGAGTCTTTCGTCTACTGTTTAAAAGTTGAGCACAATTCTTCAAGCCAACATCTCTCTTGAATAATTCTTTCATAAATTGTTTGATGTCTTCTCCTTTATCTCCAATCTTATCTTCCATTCTTAGGTCACCAAGTACCTTAAGAATTTGAGTCCTACTCACATCACCTCGCTTGCTAAATTCTGCAAACACTTCGGTGACTAATTCTACAAGTTCAGAATTCTCATGATGAGCTGCTTTAACATTAAACATGGCCTTAAGATGAGAATCATCATGATTCAACATGTCAATAATGATATGATTGTTCTTATAGAGCTGATGTTTGATGACAGTTAATGCAACGATTGTTTCAAATACAACATTCATCTTGGGATATGCATTGTAAATACTAACAGCTTCGAGCATGACACTGAAAAATTCTTTCGTTGAAAGTTCCTTATGAGCCAACACATTTTGTTTGATTTGTGGAGTGACAGTGACTGGTGTGACAGGACTCGTTGGTGAGGTTGCGGAGGAGTCATCAATAGATTCAACAGTGAGTTTATAAGAGGAATCGGATGAACCTGTTCCAAGCGATTCCAAGAACTCATAAATTATCCTAGAGTGAGTGAGTCCCTTGATGGATCTAATTTGTAAGAAGAATCTGTAGGCCCTTACAAGAAGATGTTCAGATAAATCATTCACTCCAATTCTTATTTTGGGATCAGGATGAATCATCTTCATGATGAGCTCTTTCATACTTGCTAATTTGACACTATTGAACAACTCCATCACTCGATGTGGTTCCTCAACAACAATCTCACTAAATTCATCATGAGAATAAGAACAAGCAAGTTCCAAAATTGTGACACCCAGAGAATAGACATCGACAGCACTTGTATAACCTGTTCTGTTGTAAATTTCTGGTGCTGCATAGAGTGGAGAACCACACATTGTGTTTGCCATTTGTTTGGCCATGAGAGCTTTTGAAAGTCCAAAATCTGCCAATCGAATGACCATTCTTCCATCGACAGCTTCAATCAACATGTTGGATGGTTTGATATCTCTATGAATCACTCCACGTGCAGAACAGAATTTAATGGACTCAATCATGTCAACAAACCAACCAGTAATGGTCCAAACAGGGAAATTAATCTTTTCATTGTTCACAACTGTTTCTAAATAGTCGGCAATGGAACCTAATTCACAATATTCTGACACTATTACAATACAATCTGTGTTTTTTTCATCTTTCATTTCAAAAGTATCCAACAAGTGCAATACATTGGGATGAACAAGTGACTTCATAATTTCAATTTCGTTTTGAATCTTTTCTAAATCTCTCAACTTTTCTGGTTTAATCAAAATCTTGAGAGCAAGGTCTTTTCCAGTATTGGTTTGTTTGACATGATAGACCTCTCCGAATGTACCTCGACCAACGAGTTTGATGACTTCATAACCAATTTTCTCTTGTTGTTGTGCTACAGAGACACTTCCTCTTCGATTGGAGTGTGTTGGAGAGTTTGGTGTTGAGAGTTTGGAAGAGTTGGTAGTAGTGTTGTTGTTGTTGTTGTTGTTGTTGTTCTGAGAGGAGGAGGAGTACGACGACGACGATGACGTGGGGTGGTTGTTGGAAGTAGAGGTGGTGCTGTTGCTGTTGTTGCTGCTCGTTGGTGGATGATGTTGTTGAGGATTGGGGTTGTAGTAAATCTCTCCATCATACAACCGATTGTTGTTGGGTGCTTTTCGGACTGATTTACGTCTGAATTGTTGAATCTCTGGCAATTCTTGGAATGCCATTCTTGATTTGCTTGTACTCACACCAATGCCCATTTTGTTGTTGTGTATGACAGGTTTATAAAAGTATAATGATGATGAAATAATACTACTATTGAAATAGTGGTTATGAAAGTTGTTGTTGTTGTTGTTAATGAAATAATTGTGTTCCTATTCCTCGTAGGAAATAAGTGAGTGAATGGTGAAGGAGAAGACTGATTTTCAACCAGTAGTTGAAATTATATTCCGTGAGTTGGTACAATGAGCTCAACTGAGTTGTCAGCTGTGAGTGATGACAGTCCGTGATGATTGTATAAACCACAGCAAGATGTCGCGTTCTTTTAAAATTGTACAACGTATTACGCTCAATAGCAGTAACAAATAATAAACGACTACGATGTTTATCGATGAACCACAAAGAGATAGTATTGGCTGGTTGACCGAGAAGTTGTTTTTTCAATGCACACAAACACGAACAGCGAGCCAATTTTTTTAAAGTGCTGCAAGAGAGAATGGTGAATGATGGGCAGTTGATGGTTATTAATGGATGTACAACAACAGTTATTGAACACAAATCGTGAAGAAGAAAAGCAATAAGGATCCGAAAAGGTGACAAGTATTGATGTTGAGAGAGCGATGGGACGTGTGTGTGTGGTGGTAGAGGAAGAGCTCGAATCCAAACGCTCAACCCTAAAATATCTGCGTTTTCTCATAAACATGAATGACCTAAAGAGGAGGAAACACTTACATACGTTGTAATGTGTTGAGTCGGAATGAATGGCATTCAAATGTTATCATCCACATTGTAGAACTGTGATTAAGAGCTGTGTTTGATGTTATTAAACCTTAACAACCAAGTGTTCTTCCAATTCATGTATTTTTAATTTTCCATTTTTAAAAAAAAATGCAAAATTATCCTCGTCCTCCTTCGGTCGTTCAACCACCTCCACCACAACAACAAGGCTACGGAGGATACAATCATCCACCACAACAACCACCAACTTATCAGCAACCTCCATCATATGGAGGCTATGCCCAACAGTCACAATACGGAGGATACAATCCGCCTCCACAACAGCAGTATGGACAATATGGATATGGAAGCATTTATCAACCACAAATAATTAATCATCCTTTGAAACCATTTTTTGATGCTGTAGATACAGATCGGAGTGGTAAAATTACTTGGATTGAACTTCAGAAGGCTCTCACTCAACCTGGTGGAGAATTTACAGGCCGAGTATTTAACGAAAGATGTAGGTGTTAGTTCGTGCATTTATAATTTTATTTGATGATGATGATGAATGCAGGTGCAAGAAGATTAATTAAAATGTTCGACAAGAACGGAAATGGAGAGATTGATTTTGAGGAATTCGTTCAACTCCACCAATTTTTACTTCAAATGAAGCAAGGGTTTGAATTCGTAGACAAAGACAAATCAGGAACGCTATCCTTCCAGGAAGTATCAACAGCATTAATGCAATCAGGTTATCGAATTGGTATCAATGTTGTTCAAAAAATGTTCAACATGGTCGATGTCCAGAGAAAAGGTTTTCTTAACTTCGACGGTTATATTGAGCTATGTGTTTTCGTTGGCTCTATTAGAAATGCATTCCAACCTAGAGACATCTATAGAAATGGAACAGCCATGTTCACATTTGACCAATTTTTAGAAGCTTGCACAGAGTTTTATGTTTAATTCAATATTGTAAACGCGTTAGTGACAGTGGAATTTGCAATGTATAAATATTGTACAATGTTTTTGTGAAATTAATCTTTAATCCAGAAATCCATAATCAGAGAATTGTTCCATATTTTCGTCAGTGAGTAATGTGAGCTTGTGAGGATAGGACGAGGCAGTCATGATGAGAGAATGGCATGCATACATCAGCGGAAAGAAAAAAGAGTTACCTTTTGATTTAGAGGAAACCTCAAAGTAGGCTACTTTTCGTTGTAAATACGGAACTGATAGGTCAGAAATCTTTGACATGAGCTGCATGATATTTTCACGTGTTACACCTCTCTCTAAATCACATTTCATTCCCAATATGCCAATTGATTCATAATAGCTTTCACAAAATTTTCTATGAATTTCTGGTGGGCTGTCCCTTCCAATAATGCTACCGATACGCGTTTCGAAAAACTCCTCTAAATGACTTGTCATCTTTTTAAAGCTTGCCATTGAGGCAATGTCAAAACAAAAAAAGACAGAATTTAGTCCTCTTGAATATGTTTGCCGTAAAAAAGAAAATTTCTCGTCTCCTGCAATGTCCCAAACATCGAGCTTCATGCAAAAAGGATCTTCCCGTGGTGGGATATAATTCAAGTATTGGCAAACATATTCAGCACCAATCGTTGGAATATACCTCGTTGGTAGAATGTAATCCAAATTTCCAATGCATTGTGTAAAAACCGTTTTACCACATTCTTCTCGATTTTAAATACTTCATTGTAATAGTACTACTGGTTCAATTACATACCCTGTGGTCCAATGAATCCAATCTTTATCACTCTATTAAATTCTCCATAAATTCTTCCTATTTTACATTGCTCACAAAATTCAATAAAACATTTTGGCGTTGAGAGGTACGATTCCAGAATTTCAAAATAAATATTTCTCCAATAAAACCGTGAAGAGTTTTCCTTCTTTAACAGTTGTTTGTTTTGTTTCAAAATTTCAGAAACCAAACATTTCTTTTCATGTGTTGAACACCACAATAATGGATATTCTGTCCAATAAAATCTAAAATTATGACTCACACAAGAAAGTTTCCATAACTCAATGGGAGGCAAATAAGTAAGAATTTCAAATATTAATTCCGTGGGCAGCTCTTGCTCCAGCACGCTTTGATTTTTCATATTGAGTACGGTTTTATGTTCTTCAAAATACCGAACAGCAGTGTGTTCCGAAAGAAATTCATCAATCGTCTGATCATGTATTTTTTTAAAACTATTGTTTTTTGTGGTCGATGATGATGATGGAATGACTTGTTGTCCCATTTTTTATCATAATTGTGTTCATTATGGAAACAAATCGACGCTAGTGAAATCAAGCATCATCATGTCATGTATTGACTCATCAAGCTCAGAAACATTTCACATGAAAAGTCTTCTTTCTGAATATTATTGCAACATGCAACGATTGGAGTGTTGTGGAAATAATTTTTGGAATCCATGGGTTGCTTTCAAAATAACAGATCGAAATAGAACTGTAATCAAGTCCTCTAACCCACACTTGTCCAAAGAAGATGTTTCCAAATAGGATAAACAATGACATGTCTTTGCAAGAGCTTCTCCCATGGAGTGAGTTATTGGAGAAAGGAAATGTTGTTCTTTCAATCGTTGTACAGTATTTGTATCTCTTCTCAAATCCGTTTTACATGCAATCAAAAGGGTGGGAATGGTGGTTGAAAAATTTCGAATTTCATGGATCCAATAGTCGTATACTTTCCAAAAGCTGTCTAAATTTGACACATCAAAGCATAGAAGAAATAGATCTGTCTCTGGATATGAAAGAACTCGTAATTTTTCATATTCTTCTTGAGCTATTGTGTCACATAGAGATATCTCAATATTGACAGTACTGAACAGAGTTTTGTTTAATGTGGCTCCGTCTGTTCTAAACATCCAATAATCTGGGAAAACTCCATGGTTAAGAACATAAATTAATGAACTTTTTCCAACTGATCCTTCTCCGTTAAATGTTACTTTGAATTTGTTTGGTGTTGAATGATTTAATCGTGTTGCATACTGGTTAATAACGTTGTCTGTAAGATTTAACAATTGTGGCGCATTAATAAAAGGAAATTCATGTTTGTTAGATTTTTCTGACCTTTGCAATGAACTTAATTTTTTGGTCGTGTTCTTCATGTTATTATCAACTTTTTCATTCATTTGACGTTTCAAATGGATGAGGCATCGTTTAAAATCTTTTTGAATTGTATTGTTGGTGTAAGGAATATAAAAATCATCAATCTTGCACATTTTTGTGAAAGTATTTGTAGGTATTCGATATTGAGCTCGTTTGATCAATTCATTGAGTGTTGTTAAAACATAATTTCGCCAATAAGCATCTTCTGTAGTGAGTCGTGCCATCCGAAAACTTTTACTTGTTTCATGAACTCGATTTAATTCCGTGATGGAAAGAAATGATAGAATTATTCGAAAAATATCATCATTTAAATGATGATGATTCAACCACTTGCTACATAACATGGTAACCCTTTCTGCGTTCGTTTGTACGGCAACCAACAATTAAATATGAATGAGGGATGACCTCGCTTCACCTCTTTGATATAATTTTTTTTAAATTTTAAAAATGTTCAAAACTCCTTCTTCATGGTTGCTTGCTTGCGTTCTTTTCAGTCTTGTTGCTGTCAGTAGTGTGGTTTTAGCAGCAAGCGGAGGCCATGATGATTTGCAAGCAGATTATAGTGAATTCAATGTTAAAGAATTTGTGGATCGGGAAATTTCTGGTCATAGTGTTACTGTTTTTTCCAAAAGTTATTGTCCATATTGTGCAAGATGCATCCGATTGTTGAAGAGATTAAATATTCCTGATGTTCAAGTGATTCAATTAGATGAATTGGCAGATGGTTCAGAAATTCAAGACGAGCTTTTGGAGAGAACAGGAAGACGAACAGTTCCTTCTGTTTGGATTGCTAAAGAATTTGTTGGAGGTTCTGATGACTTACATCAAGCTCATCGTGAGGGTCGTTTGCAAAAGCTGTTACAAGAGAAGGGAATACCATTCAATGATTTCAAAGATGAACTTTAAGCATAACAGACTTTTGTGACAAATAAAACATTGTCTTTCCTTAGATCGATCAGTGCATAGGTTTCATTGGTTTGTGAGAATTTCTCTTGAATGACATATGTTTGTGAGAATTTGTACCTTTATTAATAGTCATCTGATATTTCAGTTGCCTCTTCAAGCGATCGTCGTTTTTCTGGAGATAATTTAACATTGTAGTTTTCAATATCATAAACTGCTTCAATACCATGTTTGAAATCATAATACCATGTTGGAGTAACAAACATGTCATCCATTGGTTGTCTAAATAGCAAAGTATCCTTAAACTTGGAAGTATCAACGCTTTTCTTTCCATTATTCGTTTTCTGCATGAGCAGATCATAATAAGTTTTTTTGTACATTTTAACTCTCTGATTGTGATGTGCATGAACATAGTATTAAGTGGTCCGTACCAGAAAGAATTATATTCACATGGAACAATTCGTTATGAATTACTTACTCGTTTCCAAATGCTCCTAAAGATTTTTCCTGATAGCAAAGGAATATCCATATCTAGATAACAAATATGAACATATTTTGTTTTTCGTTCTGCCACACCAAAAAAAATGTGATAGAAAAGCCCAGTAGTGAGTGCACAGTTTTTGTGCTTTTTTCTTTCATTCTCTGATAAATGACCATCGATAATGTCTGGGTTCACAGAATGGCCTAAATTCATTATTATTTCACAACCATTGAGATCAAAATCTCGAACGGTTGTCATTGAGTAGCTGAAACATCTCTTTTGTAGTACGGGAATAGTAGTATCAATAATTGATCGACCAAGTACAAAACCAAATCGATGAGAACCATCACCTGATACTTTGACTGTCGATGGACGTTCATAATGGACACAATAATTTTCTGCAAATGCTTGTGAATCCAGAATTACATGATCATCTCCTGACCAATAAAGTGCCCAAACATCTTTCAATGGAAGGTCGAATTCAATGACCATCTTGACCAATTTCATCCCTTTCAAATTTCTCGAAGGATCAAGAACATAGTTTTTCTTTGAGATGTAACATTTTAAGCCATCATCGTTGGGGTCCAGTTGTAACTGTACCCAGTGTTCGGAATCTTCTTCCAAAGCATAGCCTGTGTGGTGTTGCGATTGTGACAATAGGCATGGACAATAATTGAAAAGGATACATAGTAGTGATGTTGGATTCCATTTGAAAAACATGTTTTGTGTACTTACCCAAATGGATATGACGGTCTGTAAATTTTGGATTTCTCAAATCGGATTCTTGCAACCTCAAATCGAGTCCTCTTCTTCCTAATAAACTCTCTTTGAAATCATTTCCTTTCTTCTCGATGTATTTTGCAAGGTCCTCTCCGTGGATGACCGTAAAATGGTGATGGAACTCCATAGCCAACTCATAATGAACCCTGATGGCAAGGCTTCCAAACAGATGGATAGGATTTAACTTTCCGAATATTTCGCCCAATAGAATGACTTTGTGGGAATTCTGGTGATGATTGGAGGAGGAGGACGCAGGATCCTGTTGAAGTATGTCTGATGATGATTCTTTTGTACCAGTGGCGGACATGGGTGGTGTTGTTGTGCGAGGCTGATGATGATCAGAATCACACGCTCCCAACATCTGCTTGCTTGTTGCCTCATAGAAGTCTTTCAACAATTTAAACCTATTAACGATGCGAGATAAGACTTGTTCTTCTTGGCCTGCCAACAGAAGATCATTCTTTTTGAGCAGAAGAAACAACTCAACAAATACATGGAGCGAGGGTTCTTTCTCCGAATAGTCTTGATTCAAACTTTCAGCAGCAAATTCAAACAGCTCGATCACTTCTTTGAACAAAATTTTGATGATGCCTTCCATGTTCGGGTGAGCAAACACAAACTCTTGAAAGCTCTTTTGCAGCGATAATCTTGTATTTAGATCATCTGGATAAATAAAAACGGAGGAATCGCTGTAGATCCAATCGTGTTTGTTCTTCTTCTTTTGTGATCCCTTGCCAAATGTTCGTTTCAAGGTGCTATGGTTGGAGGTGGTCTTGTTATTGCTCATCAAAGAGTTATTCACGAATTGGTGCATGGCTTTGTAATGGGCGAGTTTATCGATAAATTCCAGTGGTTCTTGTTTATATTCCTTCTGTAAATATTCTCTAAATAAGGATCGAATTACATCGTCTCTAATAGCTTGTTTATAGTTACATAATGTTGTTCCATTGTTATTATTGTATTGATTGGAACGTGATGATGAGGAAGAGCGAGATCCGAAAGACGATGATGATGATGGAATCATGATTACTGACAGTAATTTGCTCAACAGAAAATCACAGTCGGTTGATGATCATCACAAAGTGCGGATATTATTGGTTCGCGGGGTAGTATGAGACAACAACGCGTCTCAATTTTTGAGCGTGGTGAATTTTTATGTGGTTCATGAGAAGAGTCAACTTCGCTGTCAATTCGAGATACTAAAACCCAAAAAGGTGGTGAGCTCGAAATAAAATTTCCGTGTGGCCATTTATCAAGCAAGTAGGATCCTACTCAATCAAGAGTATCCAATAAATTCAACATGGATTGATCTGTTTCGATTTGCAGTGATAAATATTCGAGCAAGTCTTGTTGTAGCTCTTGTTCTCTCGGATTCATCATTGTGCTTTGTTTGACATGATCATGCATTTTGAAAATTACATGATTGATCTCCTTATTGATATTGACACAGACTTCTTTTCTAAGTTTCATTACATTTTCTGCAAAAGCTGAGGGTATGGCAATGACATTTTCTGGTAGATGATCAAAGATAGTTGTGAGAACCAATATCATATTTTCTGTGGTGTCACTCAAAATATCACAAATAAGAGCACTCTCTGTACAAGTTGTTGATTCATAGCCAATCATTACTTTGTAAAATAAGGGTGAAATATAACCTTTGGAGTAAGAGCAATATTCATAGTCATTATGGTTTGTGTTTTTCATAAAGAGTCTATCAATAAATATTTCACTCAAAATGTGTCTCAATGATTTGTCAACAGAGGACATTTCATGTTTCATGATAAATATTAATTGTGTGTTTTGAATGTCTGCAAAATTGCTCTTGATAGATTGTTTAAGGCCAAATAACTTTTCTGTTACTGATGGCTGCAAAACTCCAATATATTCAAATAATTTTTCGGAATTTGGTTTTCTCTTAATCAACAGGCATTTCACAGAAAAATCGTCATCTGCATAGTTGGGCGGAATCTCAATGCGTGTTGTTAAATTAATATATTGAGAGGAGTCAGAAAGGTCATTGTTCTTAAATATTTCGACTTGTAATGGGAATGTATTCGGTATCGGAAGTAAAATGACATCCATATCATTTTTGGTCATGAAACAACTTCTAATATCCCAATATTTGGTGTTTAAAGCTTGTGAGGCTGACTTCAAAATAATATCCGTGTCTGAGAGAGAGCACCTTGATTCCATTCTTGTTACATCCGATACAGAATCATAGAAAATATTGTTCTCGAGTGATTTGTTGTTCTGAAAAGAAACGTTAATTCCATTTTCATACAATGAATAATGGGATTGAGTTTCACCATTGTCTTCAGTTGCATGATGCTTGCTATCACCATTCTTCTGAAATTCATCCAAAATTTCTTGCGTAACTCTATTTTGATGCCTCAATAAGTTTTGCTTTTCTTTTTTGATATTTTCAAACTGCTTAATATGATTATTTGTATTTTCAATTTGAGTTGAAAGTGCTCTCATTACAGGAGTACAAATGAATTGATCTTATTGATGATGTGTCATCAATTATTCCATTGATTATGGTAGTATTAAGATTTGGAATAAGAGTGTACTGTAATTTTCCATAATAATATTCCGTATGAATACACAATAATTGTGGTGTCCCAATGTTGAAAAAATCGTGTACTATAAAGTCATATACTTTTTCGATTTCTAACACACCACTCAGTATTGTTAAAGTATTGAAAGGTTTTCACTTACCTTTTACAATGGACAAATCTAGAATGGAAATTAGTTTTAGCGATCTATCGGAGGTGTGTACAAGAACATATTCTTCATGGACAGGTCTTACATTCAAGTTTAAAGGCTGAATTTTCACTGGGATGGATGAAAGTTTGAGACATCTTGTTACAGAGTCGGCGTTGAAAAAAAGAACTTCTTTTTCTAATGTTCCAAAAACACCAGTTATTACTGAGCTATCTGATCTAGTACAATAAGTCAAGCAGGTGCAAATTGAAGAATAACTGGATGGTGGAAGAGGAAAATTAGCAGCCAACGATGATGAAGAGGTTTCAAATGAGCACTCTTCATTTAGAGTGATTGGAATTTTCAACACACAAAATTGATTATTGTCCGTAGCGAATACAGTATACCAGAACTTGGTATCAATTCCAACATGTCCTGAAAATATTATTCTATTTTTGATTCCATCATTGGATAAATTAAGGTGCATGGCTTCAAATTGAAGTGTTGAGGTTAACATATCGGTTATCCAATAAACTTGAGAATCTTGTTTAACAAGGAAGGATGGGCCATCAAATCCAACAAGTTCAATAGTGGATGATGAATCTTGCGAAAATTTCGATAATTTCAATTCCAAACATTTCGTCCATTCTTCATTCATTTTTCCAGCAGCTTTCACAAATAATGACAATTCCAAAGAGGAGTTTATGGTCAATAAAAATAATTGACTTCTGTGAGAGTATTACAAATAATATTCGTAATATATTAACAAATTATGTATTATTATTTCAATTGATATATTAACATAATTTCCCGTATAATATTATTAATTAAAATATATTTAAAATTAAAATTTAACATACAATCCTAAGGACACATTGGCTACTTTAAAAATTCTCATCGCTTTACAGTTTGGAGGATATATTTGTTTTACATTATAATTTTCAGAAAGAATAAAATCATTTTCTCCGTTCCATTCCATCCATTCCTCTCTGATATCCCCTATTTCTTGTTTATCTGATGAAACGACCTTGCTCCGATGATCATGAAAACAAAAAAGCTTTCCTTCCACCACTTGAAAATATTTCATTTTTTTGTTGGAATTAATTCAGAGCAGTTCTCAAAGATGCTCAACAAACTCGTAAGATGATGAAAACGCGAAGATGAAGAGGAGCAATACAGATATCACAGATCATTCATTGTGTACTCCATCCTCGATTAAACGCTCCAGTTTTAATTTGAAGATTAAAAAAAATGCAACGATTGATTCTTTCTCATAGGCCATCATCCATCTTGTGGAAGAGTCCCGCAATCCATCATGGCAACTCTTATGGCATTTGCATCAACAGCTCGCTCCGAAATTATTTACATGAAGGAGTAATAATATCTCCAACAACATCAGTGAAGCGTACTTTTACAACACAGACTCTTTGTCAGGGAAAGAGCTTTGACAAATTATTGTCCTCCATAGAAAAGGATTCGGGAATGAAAAAGTCTTCAAAGAGACATCGCAGCGCTAAAATTGAAGAACCAAAGACCAAAATCCCAGAGAAGAAGAAAGCAACTTCTCAGCTTTTCAAAAAACTGGAACCAACAATCACCCAGAATCGAGAGACTGAACCAACAAAACTCAACGACAGCCCTAACACAACACACAAAAACACACACACCTCACAACCAAAAGCTGCCACAAATCCATTACAACAATCTGAGCCAACATTTAAAATAATTGACAAGTCTCAAAAACGGAATGAAAATAATGATGAATCAATATTAACACCAGTAGCAGAATATACAGCCTCTAAATTACACAACAAAGAACTTACCTCAAAACTTCAAAAGATCGTAAACACAGAAGATGATGTCGAGAGCGTCATTGAATGGGGAAAGAAACATGATCTTAGATTAAACTATGATAAAGTGTTAACTCCAACAACAACCAAAACTCCTGAAGAAAAAGAAAAGGCCAAACAACGTTTAAAGAAAGCATATCAAGAATATGTACAAAATGTATCCGTACAAGAGGAGGAAAACAAAATTGAAGATGAGCAATCGTTGAAGCTTTACGGTGAGCAATTCGTTACAAGTGGTGCACCTAAGGGTTTTGAAATGATCGAAAGTAGCAAATTATCATCAAAGCCTCACAAAAAAACAGATATGGAAAAGTTGGCATCAAGACTATCAAGCTTGAAAAAGAAAACTCTTCCAGAAGAGACAATGAAAAAACAACTACTTTTAAAACAAGTTACTGAAAAGGGATCTCTTCAAGAAGAAAAAAGACCAACAGAGACAAGTTCGAGCACTGCACCAACAACGACTGTATTAAACTTGACCGAAGAACAATACAATAACGCCATATCTTCTCTACAAGAATTTACAAAGAGCTGGAAAGAAAAAGGATATGATCCAGTTCTTCAAAATAATTTTGGAAGAAAGATTTTGATCTTGTATCCTTGTGCAAGTAACAAGAAGCAGCAGCACAAAGTGAAACAATCAACTCAACATGCATCCAACAACAAGAGACTACACGAGTTGTTAGACGAATTCGAGGAGCAAGGTGTGGAAGAAGAACATAAGGATATCCTTGACAAAACTATGAGCCAGAAATTAGTGAATGTCAAGAATTACTTTTCGCAATATGGCTATGATATTTCAGATCTCAAGTCACTTCTCAAAACAGACTCAAAGAAACAAAGGAACGCTCAAGAGAAGCCAAACCCTACGAATCACCAACCAAGATATTCTGAAGAAATTCAAAGAGAAATTGAAAATAATGCAATGGATCACTCTTCATCAGTTGACTATAACAATGTATTGTTAGATGAATATCTTGGTGATGATGATCCAAATCAAGTATTTCAAACAGTAGATCAGAAACATTTACTCATGTCTGAATACGAAGAACAAACACAATACTCCATGTTTTCTCCTGATGTTCAACCTTATTTGAAAAGAAGTTCAAAAGAAAATGAAGAAAAACTTCGTCAAGAGATTGCCAAGATGAGTATTGGATCTATTCATCTACCTCCACCTTTAGCGGAAGGTGTTTCAGAAATTATCTCTGAATATCCTAAAAACCTGATTCAACGAACAGCTCAATTATTGAGTGCTGCTTTTAGACTCCGAACTAGTGGATTTGAAAAACAACAAGGCTCTTCAACATTTTCCAAGATTGATGAAGAAAAGAAGATAGGTCTATCATCACAACATGGTGATGAACTATTTAGGGAACAATTAGAAATCCTCAAACAGTTAAGAAGCTTCAAAAGAACTTCAAAGAAAAAGAAGAGACCTATTGATATTGAAATGAAAAAGAAAGAAAGTGAAGAAGAAATGAATCGATCGTATAATCCACAAATCATTTATAAGGATTTAGAAGCTGCTGCCTACATTGCACACAGACTTCCTGCTATCTATGGTACTTCTTATAGAGTATTCTCAGAATCTGTAATGAGAATGCCAGATTTTGAACCAAAAACAATGTTAGATTTTGGAACTGGACCAGGTACAACTATTTGGGCGGCTATGGAAGCATTTGGAAGCATTAAGGAGGTTATGGCAGTTGAACCTTCAACAGCAATGATGGATGTAGCTACTCGTCTATTTGATTATATGGAAGAAAAACCACAAATTACATGGAGACGTTTCTTGAACGAAAATTCATCTAAACAATATGATCTTGTTGTGGCTTCATTTGTTTTGAATGAACTTGCCAATGCACAAGAAAGAGAACGAATTGTTAAAGCACTTTGGAAAGCAACATCTGGATTATTGGTCATTGTTGAACCTGGAACGCCAGTTGGATTCAGTTTCATCAGAGAAGCTCGATCAACAGTGTTGTCACAAAAGAATCATGACTCTCAAAATGATAAGCCTGTAATTTTAGCGCCGTGCCCTCATGATTCAGTGTGTCCAATGAGTGGTACTCCAAAATGGTGTCACTTTGCTCAGAGAATCGACAGGGAATCTTTCCAAAGACTTACCAAACAAGCGAAAAAACATTATGAAAATGAAAATTATTCGTTTATTGCCATCAAGAGAGAAAGCCTGAAAGGATTTGATAATAGTGAGCAAGTTGAAAAAGGAAGAAGAAGAGGCAATGAGAGCCAAACAAATTGAAGAACAATTACCTGACAGTGTGGTAACTAGAGAAATATCTCTCCGAAGGGAATTAAGAAGTTATTCAAGAGAACTTTCTCAACAGTCGTTCCGATGGCCACGTGTCATTGACACGCCTCTGAAGAGAGGAGGACACACTATTACATCCATGTGTCTTCCAGAAGGTACTCTTTCAAAGATTGTGATTAGCAAAGCTGATAATAGAAAGGGTTACAAATATTTAAGGAAGTGCCTTAAAGGTGATTTGTATCCATATCCACTACGAGCTCGAAATTTGAAAAAGAATACTGAATTAGAAAAGTATTTCCAAGAGGATGAATAGGTTGTGAGATGCAGTTATGATTGGAGATAATATTGTACAATGTCGAGAGATACGACAATCACATACGTATTGGCAAATATGATCGATTGTGCATTTTCATATCACTGGTTTTCCACGCGAGAGGAATCATTCGATATATGGCTCATGGATGTTGGACTTCTATTGTGTCTTTCCTCTGATAGTGAAATTTCATTCATTTTCTTTAAAAATAAATTAAAACTTGTCAGTTTTGGAAATAAATCGCGTTTGGAGGAATAATTTTGATGTGGCTCTCCATTTGATGAGTGATGGTGAGGATACAAGACAAAACTTTGCTTTTTGGGAGTACAAACAATTTTTGAGGACTTGGACGATGGGTGTTCTGAGGAACTCTTATGATGCTTTGCTTCGGGTTCAGGTGTTGTTTTGTCCCTTGTTGGTTTTGGTTTTAGCAAGTGTTTTGTTGCTTCCTGGATAGCCTCTTCGCTCTTGAGAACTTCTTCCACAGCAAATCGCGACATTTTTTGAGATGAACGTCATGATTCCCATCCAACTGAATGTTCACAAAAACTCTTTAAGTTCATCTCAAAAACTTTTTTGTAAAATTTGATGGGCTGATGAAATATTACCGGTCATTTTTCAATTTTAATTAACAAACATGCCAATTACAAACGGTAGATAGAATTGCGATCAACTTTATTTCATTGCCATACAATTACTTCTTGGCAGCAATGTCCTTCTTCTCAACCTTCTTAATGATACCAACAGCCACAGTTTGTCTCATATCTCTGACAGCGAATCTTCCCAAAGGTGGATAATCAGTGTAAGCTTCAACGCACATTGGCTTGGTTGGAACACACTTAACCATAGCAGATTCACCTCTCTTAATCTTTTCTGGGTTCTCTTCGACAGTTTGGTTGGTTCTCTTATCGATCAAAGCCAACAACTTTTCGAATTTACAAGCAATGTGAGAAGTGTGACAATCCAAAACTGGAGTATATCCGTTTCTGATTTCACCAGGGTGGTTCATGATGATGACTTGAGCTTCGAATGAGGCAGTTTCCTTAGCTGGATCGTTCTTAGAGTCAGAAGCAACATAACCTCTCTTGATATCAGTTGTGGAGAGACCCTTAACGTTGAAACCAACGTTGTCACCTGGCTTAGCCTCTGGGACAGATTGGTGGTGCATTTCAACAGACTTGACTTCAGAATCTGCAGCTTGACCTGGAGCAAAGTGAACAACCATACCTGGTCTCAAGACACCAGTTTCAACTCTACCAACTGGGACAGTACCAATACCACCAATCTTGTAAACGTCTTGGAGTGGCAATCTGAGTGGCTTATCAACAGGTCTAACTGGTGGCTTCAAGTCATCCAAAGTGTCCAACAAACACTTGCCCTTGTACCATGGCATCTTGTCAGACTTTTCAATCATGTTGTCACCAGTCCAACCAGAGATTGGTACGAATGGAATATCATCGACCTTGTAACCCAACTTCTTCAAGTAGTCAGCAACCTCCTTCTTGATTTCATCGTATCTGGCTTGAGAGTAGTTGACAGTCTTATCATCGAACTTGTTCATACAGACAATCAATTGTTGAATACCCAAAGTCTTGGCCAACAAGGCGTGTTCTCTGGTTTGACCATCCTTAGAAATACCAGCTTCGAAACCACCAGTAGTTGAGTCAATGACCAAGATAGCAACATCAGCTTGAGAAGTACCAGTAATCATGTTCTTGATGAAGTCTCTGTGACCTGGAGCATCAATGATGGTAAAGACAAAGTTCTTGGATTCGAATTTCCACAAGGCAATATCGATAGTGATACCTCTTTCTCTTTCAGCCTTCAACTTGTCCAAAACCCAAGCATACTTGAAGGAACCCTTACCCATTTCTTGGGCTTCCTTTTCGAACTTTTCAATGGTTCTCTTATCAATACCACCGCACTTATAGATCAAGTGTCCAGTGGTGGTGGATTTACCAGAGTCGACGTGACCAATGACGACAACGTTAATGTGTTCCTTCTCTTTACCCATCTTTGGTCTATGAAAATATTGAAGATTCCATTCATGGAGACAAATAAATACGATCGTCAGTTATATGAGTGATGACGGGGTTTCGTCCAGTTTATAAACTTACTGTTGTTGAGTGTGTGTTTTTTTTTTCGACAAATTTTGCCTCAATAACAACTCAGCCTTACTTATGCCGCTTTTTCCTTGCGTTGACTACGGATTGTAAACAAACGACCAATCATCAAAAAGCGGCTTGCAGTTGATTGTTGTTTACAATCTTTAAAAAGGGCTGACGTGTTTGCACTCAACAATACCAGCCTCATATCAATGATGTGTGTGGTGTTCTCTCCTAAAGTAAGTAGTTCTTTTCATGTTATACAAAACAGAATCAGAAACCTGAATAAATATAGGGCTTTTGTATTTAAACTTTGATTCCTTAATTCTTACAATAATTCATCGGCCATCATCATGTTGGGCGACGAAAATGGTGAATCGATTTGTTCAATGAGGCCAGGAAACCAATACTCTTCTCCTTCACCTTTTGTGGACTGTGAATCAATCCAAGCAAAACCTTCTTTGATCAGTGGTTTTAATGCGTTTTCCACTCGTTCTCTCGACCAAGACAACTCTCTTTCGAGTTCGGGTATCGTCATTCCTTCGAGACCCTTCCGTGAAAGAGCACTCGAAAGAATGGCGGTTTGGTCTGCATTCAGCTCACATGGTACGGATTGAACAAAGTATCTTCCTCCACCCAGCATGACCAGCTGAAATCCATTTCCAAGAACTTTTAGGTGTTTGATCGACCGTTTCACATCCTCTACTGTAATGTCATAATCTTTTTGTGAGTATTTGTTTCTTGTTTTTTTGACACGTTCAGTCAGTTCGTTCAGTTCAATCAGACCTCCATTTTGATTTCTTGTTTTTAAACAAATTTCAATGATTTGTATTCCCAATTCATAATAGAAATCACCCACACCCAATAATTCAGCCCAAAATCCTTTGTTTGATGCGAGGGGGTCAACACCAATTTTTGAACACATTTGTTGAAATTGATGACGAAATTCTGCATTCTTATTAATATCTTTTTTGTGTTTAATTGCAAATTCTTCTAAACTTTGTCGGAAAATATCTAAACGTTCCTTCATTTGAGACATTTGCATATTGTTTACATCCTCTCCTTTTTCTTTGAATTTTTGTTGTCTCAATTTATCATTCTGGAGAGCTCCTATTCCGATTCCTCTTCTCATTTGCCGATGAAGGTGATGTTAGTTGTCTGAACGTTATTATTTTTTTGCTGATGTTAAAATTGGTAATTTGTTGAATGATTCGACGATTTGAAATTGGTTTAATGAGTATTCCTTTGTGCATACAAATACCCGTTAGTGGTGACAAGGTTTCTTCTTACTTGTTTCTGAGTGAAATTTTGTATAATAATTCTAACAAAACTGATCTCACAGGTGAAGGAGAGAATTTCATAACCGCTTCATAAGCCATCCTCGTATGTGTATCAGCTAAATCTTTTGTAGATTGAACCGCATTGCTCTTGACAACAAGCTCCATGGCTTTTTCAATATCACCCTCTCCAGAGAATTTTCTTTCAATAATCGGAGCCATTTCCTCAGGGAATGCTTTGGTGGCAAACAAAATAGGACAAGTAGTCAAACCCAATTTCATATCTGCTCCTTGGGAGGGTTTTCCTAGAGTCGATTGTGACTGTGTAAAATCAAGACTATCATCAGTTAGTTGATATGCGATACCAACATGTTTACCAAATGTATAAGCTGCTTCAATAAATTCCCTATTTGTTGTTCCGCTCAAAACTGCTGATGCTTTACAGCTATTTGCAATTAGTGAAGAAGTTTTAAAGAAGATCGTTTTCATATAATAATCAAAGTCTCGTTTTCCCTTTCCAGCCATTTGTAAAACTTCACCATAAGCCAAATGTTCAATCACAGTAGATATTAAATCTATTGCTTCAATGTTTCCAATTCTTGCTAGATTAATTGAAGCTCTAGCAAGCAAAAAATCTCCAGCCAAAACAGCAACCTTGTTTCCAATAAACTTATTCAGTGCTGGAATCCCTCTTCTGGTATCTGCATCATCAACGATGTCATCATGAATTAAACTTGCTACATGAATTAGTTCTGTTGTTTCAGCTAATTTTCTTTGTTTTTTCATAATAATTTCCAAATCTTTAACATCCAAGCGTTGTTCTTCATTGACGGCTCTTCCGGTCATAAGAACAAGCATGGGTCTAAAAAGTTTTCCAGGTGTGTTGAAAAAGTATTTTGCAGCAGCATCAAGAACTGGATGGTCCGATTTCACACTTTCCAAAATTTCTTCTCCGATCAGTTTCAAATCTCCTTCAACTTGGCGTGATATTGTTTGGGATGTTCTGGTCGGATCAGATTTGACAGCAATCTCTCTGTCTTTTATAATTGTTTCTTGTATGATATGAGCAAGCGAGCCTTTTGAAACACTTTCATCGATAATCATATCCGTTGAAGTAATAATTGAATCAATGTTTTCGGTGGATACAAGTTTTGGAATTTTGATGTTTGTAAGGGAAGGAATGACTTTGGATGTTAAACTTGAAAGAATTCCATAATTCCTATTATGAGCGTGTTGATGAAGTGCGTTTGATGATGAAATAATTGATGAAGAAGAGGAGAGAGAAGACGGGTTGAAATTAAAACCATCAGAGTATTCGGGAGATGGAAATAATTTTCGTGAATAGGAACGGGTTGTAGAGCCTATATAAAAAGGCTTTTGGATTAATACCGATTCTCCAACAACATTACTATTGCTTCTTTTTGAACTTGCTCTCAAGAGGTGCAACAGGCTTGTCTTGGCACTTATGTGATTGCTCATGAGTTTGTCGGGGTTTAAAAGATTTACGTGGCAGGTATATTCCTATGAGAAGGTTTTATGAATCGGTAAACAACAAGAAGAAGTCAAGAACAATCAAAATTCCTTCTCTATTCAACAACAGGTCTTTCTGAATTTTTTCTTCTTCATCATGAAAATTCACCGAACCAACGAAGGGAGAATTTTGATTGAAGGTAGGCATAAAACTGATTGAAGCTTTTGACAAAAATCATGATGATGATGATAATACTCTAACTTCTATTATCAATCATGAAGATTGACGACTACCATTAAGCTCGACATTAAATCAACATTTTGAGCAAGATTGCATAAAAAAATGGAGCCTTCTTCCTCAAGCTCTTCATCTCTCGAACAATCACAACAACAACTCAAATCATCAAAGCATAACGACAACTTTTCCGAATATCAATATTATTATTTCTGTCAAGCTGTTGACTCTATTTTCGGACGGTGGGCAGCCTTGATACTAGCAAAGCAACATCATGCCTCGGGAGATGATACGGAGGCCTTGTTGGATGAATTTAGAGACAATGTTAAAGAATGGATTTCAAATGATGGGGACCAACTTGAATCAGATGAAGTTGTACAGTACATGAATGATGTTTTATCGGAAGATTTGGGAATTGACGTACTTGATGGATCAATTCCGTCTGTTGCCAAACATTTACTATTAGTGTTCCAACAAGTGACACAAAACAATTTCGAGCAAGTGATAAAATTACTGTCTGAGAAAAAGGAAGAACCTGTTACTATTCCGAGTGAGTCCGAATTTGTTCAGTCCAAACAACAACAATCCACAGTTTTACAACAACAAAATTCTCAAGATGTTATGGAGGAGAGCAATAATGATGATAATAAGGAAATTGAAGTCGATGAAGATGGTTTTCAAATGGTTAAGAAGAAGTCATCCGGTGGTCGCAGGAAGTAAATATAATATTGTTGTGTTATCCTCTATTTCAACAACTTTTCATCTTTGGTCTCCTTGACACCACGACTAACTTTCTTCCACGCGTGTCGACACGTCATTGCACTCTTGTTGGGAAGCACCTGAAGAGAGAACCAAGCAACTGAGACGATAAAAAATACTTTAAAAAATTCTGCATCACCAATTATCCACTTGGTTACAGTTGTGCGACACGATCTTTAACCTCTCCGCTATTCATCATCGTTGTTTTTCTTTGGTGTTATTTACATTAACATCATTATCATCATCATTGCCCAAGCTAAATTAATCAAAGGTTTAAAATACAATCCGAAATCTAAATCATGAATTTTACTCAAAGTGAGAACTCGAACGGTATTCGTCATTCATGGAATATCCTTCCTGCCAACAGGCTCGATCAATCTCGTTGTATTGTTCCTGTTGGATCTTTGTATACTCCATTGAAGGAAATACCAAATCTCATTACACTTCCCTATGAACCTGTTGTTTGTAAAACTTGCAGAGGTATTCTTAACCCATTCGCAAAAGTAGACTATAGAACTAAATCATGGGTTTGTCCATTATGTATGGATATGAACATGTTTCCACAAGCCTATAGCGGTATTACCGAGACTCAACCACCAGCTGAACTTCATACTGCTTTCACTACTATTGAATACAAACTCGTACACAAGCCTCCAGCACCTGCCCCAGTATTTTTGTTATTGGTTGATACTTGTCTTCCAGAAGATGAGATGAGATTCTTGAAAGACTCAATTTTACAAAGTCTCAACATTATTCCCGATAACTCACTTGTTGGTTTAATTACATATGGTGCTACTGTTCAAGTTTTTGAGTTGGGATTTAAGGAATGTAGCAAGGCTTACGTTTTTAGAGGTGACAAGGAGACACCATTCGAACAAGTTCAGGACCAATTGGGTTTGAAATTAGTTGGAGTTCAACAATTTGGGCAAACTAGATTGCCAAATCAACAAAATCTTACCAACGCAACATCAAAGTTTTTGTGCCCAATTTCTGAATGTCCACAACTGATGGATATTATTGAAGAGCTTCAACCAGACCCATGGCCTGTAAAGAGTGGACGCCGTCCTCGTCGCTGTACAGGTGTAGCTCTTTCTGTTGCAACATCATTGCTCGAGTCCACTTTCAAGGGATATGGTGCAAGAATTATTAATTTTATTGGAGGACCATGTACTTTTGGCGATGGTCAAGTTGTTGGATTGGAGCTAATTGAACAAATTAGATTGCACAATGATTTGAGAAATGGAAAGGCCCCTCACTTCAAAAAAGCAACTGAATACTATAAGAAGATTGCTCAACGATTGGTTCAAAACGGACATGTTTTAGATATTTTTGCTGCTAATCTTGATCAAGTTGGAGTTTTGGAAATGAAATCATGTTGTGAAAATACAGGTGGAGTCATGGTTTTAACTGACACATTTGACAATCCAATATTTAAAGAATCGTATATGAGATATTTTGAAACTGATGCCAATGATCAACTCAAGATGGCTCTTAATGCAACCATAGAATTACAATGCTCCAACGAAGTAAAAGTTTGTGGAGTTATTGGACCAGTAACATCCATGAATAGAAAAGGCAACAACGTAACAGAAAACATCATTGGAGAAGGAAACACCAATGCATGGAAGATTAATGCCATCCATCCAAACACCACACTCGCTTTTTATTTCGATGTTGTTAATCAGCAAAATCCAGCCAGCATGAATACTCCAGCTATTAGATGCTTCCAATATATTACAGCATATCAACATCCTTCAGGTGAATATAGATTGAGAGTTACTACTCAGGCCTTAGGATGTGCTCAACCAAACAGATTCGATGAAGTTGCTCAAGGTTTTGACCAAGAGGCAGCAACTGCCTTGGTTGCCAGATTATCTGTGTTTAAAGCCGAATCAGAATATTTGTTTGATGTATTGAGATGGCTAGATAGATCCCTCATCAAATTAGTGTCAAAGTTTGGATCTTATCAACCAAATGATCCAAACTCCTTGATTCTTTCTCCACAATTTTCAATATTCCCTCAATTCCTTTACCATTTGAGAAGAAGTCAATTTTTAAGAGTTTTCAACAGCAGTCCAGATGAAACTGCATGGTTTAGATTAATTTTGAATAGAGAAACTACCACCAATTCTATTACAATGATACAACCCACATTATACTCATATTCATTCACAGAGCCTCCTCACCCTGTTGAACTGGATTCAAATTCTGTCAAACCAGATGTCATTCTTCTTTTGGATACATTCTTTGCTGTATTAATTCACTATGGCGAGACTATTGCTTCATGGAGAGAGGCTGGATATCATACTCAGCCAAAATATGAAAACTTTGCCAAGCTGTTAGAATTGCCAAAGGAAGATGCCAAGCTTATTATCAAAGATCGTTTCCCATACCCAAGATATATCGAATGTGACCAAGGATCAAGTCAAGCCAGATTCCTTATTGCAAAGATCAATCCTTCCACAACTCACAAAGACCAAGCTTATGGACAAAATAGCACTGTTGTATTAACGGATGATGCTGCCATGCAAGTGTTTATGGATGGATTGAGGAAGTTGGCTGTTCAATCACAATAAGTCAATACAAGTTCTTACTTGACTGCTGCTTATTGGAAACTCATCTCTACAATTTTTCGGCTAAAAAAATCTCTCTTTCTGCTCTCGAAATCGTCATCACTTTGCGAATGTCCTCACCACCTCCATCTTTGTGCGTCGGAATACCCATAGCAACTACAACCACAACTGCAACTACAAATATTAGAGTTTGTGTGAGGTGTCGTCCGTTCATCGCAAATGAGCTCAAAGACAATTCATTTCCAAAGAATATGCCATTCAATATTGAGGCAAATTCGATCGAAATCCCGAATATCGACCCCACCCAAACAAAGGTCATGCCTTTCGGTACGTCATTCATTATCGTACTACAACTCTGTTATGATCAAAATAATTTCAAACAAAACGAAACAAGTTAGACTTTGTGTTTGACGAGAATGCTGAAAACAAGGATCTCTATCGAGAGATGATTTCAGATATGATTCCTTCAGTCATAGAGGGTATAAATGTAACCACATTTGCCTATGGTCAAACTTCATCTGGAAAGACTTTCACGTAAGTTAAGCCTTCATATAAGAGTCAGCTAAATAATATATCAGTATGAAGGGAGTAGGAGAAGATAATCCAGGTTTGATTAGGCTTGCAATTAGAGAGATTTTCAACCAAATTAAAAATTCAGTATGTATATGAAATATTTTGAAGAGACAAGGTTGATTTACTTTCTGTATTCAAAAGGAATGCGAGAACAGAACCTTCCTTATCAGAGTATCCTACTTGGAAATTTATAACGAAAAAGTGAGAGACCTTCTCTCACCAGAACAGCGACAAGTGAATATTTTCGTGGATAAAAACGTAAGTCAAACAAGTTGAATAATTGTATCATGAACAACTAAAACTGACAACAGAAAAATTTGTCATTTGATCATCTAACTGAAGAGATTGTTCGCAGCGAAAATGAAGCGATGGACGTTCTTGCAAGAGGTTCTTCGCATGCAATAATTGCAAAAACAGTTGCTAATGATTCATCTTCCAGGTCTCACACAATTTTTCGAATGGTCGTTGAAAGAAAAGATGAAATTGCTTTGGACAGTTCGAACCTTGCTTCGTCCCAAACAAAAAGACTCAAGGCTAAACAGATATTAAGAATAGGGACTTTAAATCTTGTTGATCTTGCAGGAAGTGAAAATGCCAGCCTTCAAGTGGATGACAACAGAAAACGTGAAGGTCAGAACATTAATCTGAGTTTGTTACATTTGAAAGAAATTATAACAAAACTTTCGAACGGAGAAAAAGTATCTTCTTTCCGAAATTCAAAGCTTACAAGAATTTTAGGAGATAGTTTGTCCGGAAATGCTAGGTATGTTTGGTGTATTGTCATCAAGAGTTATAACTTTTTGTTATTACAAAAAGAGTCGCTGTAATTTGTTGCATTTCGCCAGAGCCAAGTAAATTTAGAGAAACCAAACGGACTCTTGAATTCGGTAGTAATGCAAGACGGATAATGATCAAACCAACTGTAAATAGTGAATGTGACAATGCCTTAATTTTGAAGTACCAAACTGAGCTAGAATCTTTGCAAAATGAGCTTAATACTTTGAGGGAGAAATTAAAGAGCCAAAAGGACGATACTGACAAAGAAGAAACCGAGGAAGAGGTTAAGAATTTAGAGAACATTATGAAAGATTTAACCGAATCAATGGTTACAAACAAATCTCTGCTCACCAAATTGGAGGATATTGAAAAAGAAAAAAGAGATAGGGATGCAAGAATAATGGAGATTGAAAAAGAGAAAGAAATGTTGGAAAAGCAGCTAAAGTTGGAAGAAGAAAATAAGCGCATGAAAGAAGAAGAGTCAAGAAATAAGGATCAAATTTTGCTTCATCTCCAGCAAGAAACTCTCGCCATGAATTTAAGGCTAGAAGAGATTTCATTGTCTAAAAAAGAATGGGAATCACAATCACAAAGAAAAGAAATACAAATCAAGGAGCTCATGGATTATAATAGAATTATTGAAGAAAAGATGATTAACGAAGAAAGCTCAAGAAAAAAAGCAGAAAAGTTGGTTCAAGATCAAGTTGCACAAATAGAGCTGTTTAAACAAAAGAATGAATTGATTGCCCATGAATATGCAAAAGAAAAGCAAGCAAAAGAAGAAGCATGTAATTTAGTTCAGCAAAAGCTGAATGAGATGCAGAACATACAACATTTACTCCAACAAAGTGAAAATGCAAAAGCAAATTATGAAGCACAACTTAAAATTCTTAATGACAATATGTCAACCATGTACAAATTGTGGAAAGAAGATTATGATAACGAGATGCGCTTGAAGGAAAAAGAAAAAACTCAATTAGACGAACAAATAGCTCGTTTAACACGGATATTAGATGAAAAAGATTTAGAAATTCGAGATTTACAAGAACAACTTAAAACCAATCAATTATTACAGCAAAACATTTTAAGTATGGAGAAAGAAACACAACTTTACAAGAAACTACTGCAGGAAATCGAAAATGAAAAAGAAATGATCAAGAAAAAGTCTCTCGACACCTTAAAGGAGAATATGGAACTTAAGAGAAGGCTTTCAGCGCTGGAAAAAGCGAATCAGAATGTGACTTACAGAAGTGACACCAACAACTACAACAACCCTTCTTCGTCAAGCCTCACATCCAGAACATCTCGACCTTCTTCACCAATGACGACACCCTTCAATAATCCATATCAGGTTTCCTCACAATCCAATAACCCCGCTGCTGGACAATTGTCTTCTCTTTCTTGTAATAATATTCGTCAACACACATTTAATCTCTCTGCAGGAGGTAATAATATCAATGACATTCCCTCTACAATTTCAACCAATTACGGAACTACGAACCTCTCGTCATGGCCCAATCAACTAAATACATACAACCAAACTAATCAACCTCCTGTTGTGAACCAAAATTGTAATCCCTTCAATCACACAATTAATGGAATGAGGGATGATCTGAATTACCAACCAATGCATCACAATCCATATCAATTTTATCCTCCAACAAATCCGAGTTATGACAGAACTAATTCTTACGGACAAATGTCGACTTTGCCCTCAAACAATCAGCATGCCACGTTGATTCATGAAAGTGGTGTCCTCGTTCAAAACGGAGGAGGAGGTACCACAAGAAGTGCTTCTCCTTCACCTCTCACTAATAGGTCTTCTCTTTCCGTGCCTCCACAAGAATTATCAACAAATGCTGGGAGAAGCAGACCCAAGTTGTTTAATCAACAACAAGGACAGCACCAACCTCAAATCCAAGCTCCACCAAAGGTAACAACAGGGGGATCTGGGCCGAATAATAACCCAATCAGAAACCCTTCGCCCAATCGAATTATCAGAATCACCGGTGAACGAGCTTCTCCTAAACCACCTACTAAAGAAGAACCAGAAGAAAATTCGTTAGAGCTGGAACAGGATAAGACGAAAATGAAAAAACGGAGATCTTCATTAAGCAATCTGTTCAGCTTGTTTAAAGGTGAAGACAAAGCTAATTTGCTCAAGTAGCTAGAAATAAATTGTCCTGTGATCCAAGTCAACTGCAGTTCAAATAATAAAGGCGTGCTCCAACCTAGAAGAGTTATAATTTATTTTCTTCTCTTTGAAGTTGATTCTTCTTCGCTTGATTCTTCATATTCTTCTTCACTCTCGGCACTGTCAGCACTTTCTTCTTCTTCTTCGTATGACCTTCTCTTGTTACTGGACTTTCTTAGAGTGTTTCTTTTAATTTTTCTAACGTTACCCTCTTCATCAGAAGAAGACTCTGCTCCTTCTTCTAGAGAAGCATTTGCTAGGGTTAAGTTTTGTTGATATTGTTGTTGTTTCTTTTGTTGTTTTTTCTTAATATTTAGTGCCTCTTCCATCACCTTTTTGTTTTCTTCCGATTCAGGTCGTTTCATTGTCAATACGGTCTTTTTCTTTTTTGCACTTGCGTTTACCTTACTGATTTGAAGAGCAATGTCTCTTCCTTTTGTTTGTGTTGAGGTAGCCTTTGTGTTGAGCCTATGTGTGAAAATACCATGTCCATAATAGCAAAATGGGTTAACTTTTTCAAACAAATGTAAGTTACTCCAATTTTGAAATGCTTTAGCTTCTAAATGGAGAATGACCTCATTTCCAACAAATACTTGGTAAGTTCCATCTGCATACTGTACAACACGAGTATTGCTCTCTAATTCACCAGTTTCCTCATTCCTCCTCCAACGAATTGTGTACAAATCATTCTTGGATAGCTGAGTATCTTCAGAATATTCTTTTTCATCAGTGTTAAACTGAACAGGTGTACGTAGGAAATATAATTCGTTGATATGCTTTGGAGTTGGTCTTGGCTTATGTTCAATTTCCAAAACAGGCTTACTATTATCATTATCATCGCTCTCGTAATTATAGAACAACGATTCACACAATTCCGCTTGTGAACGTAAAATTTGATTTTGCAAATTTCGTTGTTCTTCTTCCAATCTTTCTTTTTCTTTTAATTCACTATGTCTTGTTTGTCTTCTCTCAATCACCACTTCATTTTCTTTATCGGATGATGACTGAGCTTCCTCTTGCACTTGGCGTTCTTCTTCCTCTTCCGATTCCTCAAAATCAGAACCAAAAATTTCTTCTATGGTTGCTTTTTGGTCTTTACCTTCTTGGGTATGGTTGCTCATGACGATGATGATGGTGCGTAAGAAGAAATGACAACGAGATGATCAATAAGTTATTTTTTTTAAATTGTTTTTAAATTTGATGAAAAATTTCGCCTGTTGTTCTCTCTTTTTAAATCTACAGTTTTTTTTAAAAAAAATGCTCGAAACTGACATTCAAAGTTCATTCATTGGAATAACCTCAAAGAAAATTACACTTTCTCCGAGAGGAGATAAAGAAGAGGAAGATGAGGAAGAATTTACGGAGCCGATCATCATGAAAGAAGAGATTCTTATTGACGCGATGAACGACATTTCATTTACAGGGAGCGAGATGCAAGCTTCCTTAGAACCAATGGGATTTCAATTTAGAAGAAGAATTGTTGGAGGTCAACAAGTACCAGCAAAATCACTGGAGCTCAAAGGAGTTGACAACAGCAAATTGAGCAGCGGGGTTGACAAGATTAACAACATTAAAAAAAAACATGAACGGTTAAAGGCATTTTCCCCTGTGAGGACGAAACCCTCTGATTTCAACGGAGTCACACCTGCTCCAACAAAGACTCTTGTTCATGTCCCATTAGAGGAGTTATCATCACGAAAAGTGGAAACGAACACAACAAAAGGATCTAAAAAATCAACAAAGCAACCCGAGGTTATCGACGAATCACAATTGAATATTGAAATAACCAAAGAGCGAGCTTTTGATGAAAGCCCCATCCAAGATCACACAAGTGAAATTATTGTGAATGTCATTAGACAAGAACCATCAGATTTTTCTGATAATAATCAGTCAGACGGGTTAGATGTCTTCAAAAGCAAGGTTATTGTTCCTGATGAAATATTGGATATCACTCTTGAAACGAAGCGAATGATGGAGGAAGATGTTTCTAACATGAAAAGCAATTTGAAGAAAGTCTCTTTGTCCACCCAGTTAGATTATTTTAAACGAAAAAGTAGAGAAGTACTGTCTGAACCTTACAAAAATCACATATTTGCTCTTGACAGAAGGAAGTATACACAAGTTATGCTTAAAAAGAGTAATTCCTCTGGAGAAGAAGTTGACTTTGAAAAAAAGGATGAATCATATCTGTCTTTGAAACTCCCTCAAATAGACAAAAAGAGGAAGAAAAGAAAAACGAAAAAAGATTTGTCCCCCGAAAAATATGCAGAGAGTGCAAAAAACGATTCATTTAAACAATGGAATAACTCAATAGATATGGATTTACAAGAAACTGATTTTTATGATGGCTCTGAAGAGTTAGGAATTGTAGACGAAGTCATTAAAGTGGCCAGTGCAAAAAGTGTTCCACAAATACCAAGATCTAAGATTCCAAAGAAATACCATATTATTGAAAAATCACCAATTGTCACAAAAGAAGAGCTTGAAAAGCAAGCCGTTTATAACGGAGACAAAAGGGTCTGGGAAACCACTGTATTTCCATCCAATAAGCCAGTCTCAAGAATGGAGGTAGTTCAGTTAGCTCGAACATTTGAGTTAATGTTAGAAGAGATGAATGACAGTTCTCAAGAACATGAATCACTTGTAGAGGAAGAGATGAGAGTGTTAGATACAATTTCATCAGAAATCTCTCGACAAATTAGTGTTCAATGTGCTGAGAGAGGTATTCTTCTTAACAGGGTTATTTATCGATTTAAAAAGCTTGTTAAAAAGTCAGTACAAGCAAAAGAGGAAGCTAAACAAAAGATTGAAGGAATCACATCGTCCAATGAACACAAAACTTCAGCATTAATAGAATTCTATACAGATTCCATTAAATCAAAAGAAGAAATTTTAAAGAAAAAGGAGGATGAAAATGCAGAGCTGGTAAAACAGATAGCCAAGTTGAAAGAACAGTTACGGCAAACTAGAAAAGGAATTAAGGCCATTACATCTAATTTCTTTACAGAAAAATTAATGCAAGAGATGGTGACAAAGAGTTTGCAAGTAACGCCAAGGGAACCAACACCAAGAAATACTGAAAAACTATTTACAGAAGAGGAGTTGAAACAAAAACTAGAAGAAATGATGGCAAAGGAGGCAGAATTAACTATTTCAACAGTAGATCGGGGAGTGAACACATCGTTAATGGAGGGAGTCAGCTTGGAGAGTGTAAGAGCAATTGAACGATACAATTCTCTCTTTGCAACAGACTACACAGTTGAGGTGGTGGAAGAGACGCCCCAACAAGTAGAAGAATCGGAAGTGACAGAAGAAACTCAAACAGAAACGAAAGAAGACAAACCTGTGGAAGAAAAGAAAGAAGAACCACCAGTTGAGATTGTTTACAAAGATAGGGATGGAAATATAATTTCTAAAGAAAGATATGAATATCTTCAGAAGCTAAGTTATGGATTGGTGAAAGACATTGGAGTTCAATTTATTACCTTTTCGAGGCCTCCAATGCCACCATCCAACTCAATTGCAACACAAACTCTTATTTCTGAAATTAAGACTGTGGATGAAATTGATCGAATGAGCCCAAACTCTTCATTAGAGTTCAACAATTCTAAAAGTGGTGAAACAAATCCAAGACGAACTGATGACTACAATAGTAGAGGAACAGATTCTCAAAATGGAGTAAGAAGTGCAAATTCAAAACGTGCTCTTACAAGCGAAGATTTCAAACATCGCATGAAGCTCGTCAAACCAGAAGATATATTCCTCTTGTTCAAAGAAATTTTAGAATCTGACAAGAAAACAAGAAAACAAAGTTTGAGATGGTTGAACAGAGTTATTTTAGAAGTGTTTAACGAGTTGACAGTCAGTGACTTCCTGTACAATACTACTGGAATTATTATGACCAGAAAATTTGTCTATGACTACTTTTTATTGAAGTTTGGTTTGCCATCCATTGCTTTGACTGTAAGTAGAACTCAACGGATTCAAATGATAGCGAATTGTGTAATTTCACATGCAGCACTTGTCAGAGTTTCTCATTAACATTAAGCTCAAATTTAAGGAAAGTATCAGAGTTCAAATGTTCTGCCAATTTTGCCCAATCACTGAATGGATTGGTCAAACATCATATCCCGAGTATACTATACAAACTCTTCAATTCTATCTGTAAGTATTATATATATATTATAGGTATTGAATGGAAGGCATTCACAACAAACAACTTCTTTAGAAAAATTATTGGTATTACCAAATCTGTTTTGAATAAGAGAGCATTGCATGAGCTTGAAGATGGATCATTATTTGTTTCTCTCGCATTTGTAAATAACTTGATGGAAAGACTTCAACTCCCGTTACTTCTTGAAGAATTACAAGATTTTATTTTAAGCATCAAAGATCAATCATCTGATAACTTGTAAGTTCATCATTGAAAAAGCAAAAATGTGAACACCATCTTCATCAGCATTTACTATGATTACCTGCTGAAATTACTTGTTGAGTTGTATTATAATAAGATTATTTTAAAGAAGAGAAGAGTTGCTCAACAGGAAAGTAGGAATGTAATGGCCAAACCATCTGGACAGCAAATCTCAATTACGATCACATCCTTTAAGAAAATGCTCAAAACCTTTTTCAAGAATCTCTATGTTGTTAGAGATAAGATGAATGGTCCTCATGAATTTGTAAGCAAAAGTGACAAGGTTTCAAAGTCATATCTACTGGAAGTTTATCATGTGACCACTTCCGTTTTTTATGAACTCATTGAAAGCCAAGTCGTCGATTCAGACAAACAAAAGCATCTCAAGCAATTACATTCATTGCTTTTTTCATCGATGGAAAGACAAAATCTTGAAGATGGAATGAATTCATATCGAGCATTTGTGATTGAAGTTCTTTCCTCTGTTGTCGATGAGACTCACAAAATATTTGCCATCATGATTCAAAAACTTGTGCCACTTGTGTCAAGAAATGTATAAGAAGAAGTGAAATTCAATTTCAAAGTTAATCTCTCCTTTTACTATTCGAAATAAAATCTACTGTATCATCCATGCATCCTGAAGAACTAAAAATACCAGAAAACCATGATCCTGAAGAGCCGTTAGAATCATTACTTGGTTTGACAAGTTTTTTGGCATTTTCTTTCAATTCTTTCACTAACAAACGCAAATGTTTGGGAGAAATATCTGATAATGTAATTTTCAAAGGTAATTGATAACCTAGCTCTCCTCCTGTTTTAGATTTTGAGAACATTTTCAAGAATACTTGTTGTACTTCACCTTTCTGCTGTGACGTTAATTCCAATGATTCATCGTACGATTCCCAATCAATCTCTAATAAAGTCACATGAATACTGTGAATATGATCTAATTTGTAGGAATCATATACAATTTCAACCTTGATCATGGTAAATTAAATAATAACATATTTGAATCACGTGATGAGATTCACACCAAAATATGTACATAACATCGATCCGAATATATAGAGAAATCGACATGGATCATTCGATAATTGGTATCCAATAATAATAATTAAAAATTAATAACGAACCTGCCATGAAAATTGAAACAAATTCTTGAGCATGGTATTTCCTAATGGTTTCATCATTTGTTCTGTTCTTCTATGAACCATTGAAATGCAATTCTGATACATTCGAATATCAATTCTCCATGTTCCTCTTATATCCTTAAATCGAATAGGTGTTTTCGTAAAGAATAAACTTTCTGCAAAGTGACCCAATAATGAAACCACAAATGCTTGATCCACCAATGTTAAAAATTTCACCAAAGGATGGCCATCACCATATTGACCTTCCATCAATGTACTGACATAATTTGGTACAGATTTACTCACAACAATATTTTTAAATTCTTGTAATGTGAGTAATGGTTTACATTCTTGAAGAGTTTCCATACTGTGAAAGAGTCTTGTCAATGTATTTAAAAGATCCACAAATATTTGATCTCCTCGATCCTCCTTTTCCATTTCATCAAGATTTCGAGTGAGATGTGAAAATTTTTCAAATTCATGATCAACGTGTTGATAAACGAATTGAGTGATACGTTCATGATGATCGGCCATAATGGTTTTCTCTTGAGTTTGTGGAGAAGAACAATTCATTGTTGCATTTGAATGGTTGTTGTTGTTGGCAATGGTTGCAGTAGTAGTACTTGTGGTGTCGGAAGTAGTAGTCATACTCGCAACAGTAGTAGTAGTCGCGGTAGTAGTCGTATGGTCATGTCCATTCGAGTCATCATGATCATCCTTACTTATATTATTATCAACTGGACGTTGCTCTTGTGGTGGTAATTCCGAAGAGAACGATGAGGCTTGTTGATGATGAATTGAAGATTCAACGAGTGGATGTGATGCATTTTCATTCATTGAATGGTTGTTGTTGTTATTGTTGTTATTGAGATTTGAATCATCATGTTCTTTTTGAACAGCCATCCGAGAAAAATTCAATTCAAAATCTTTTTGTCTATAAAAAGAAATCTTATCATACATTCGAACTAGATCACGGGCAAGGAAGGATGATTGAATGGGTTTACGAGAGATGGCATCGAATTCAGTGGCAACAATAGGTAAAAGTTCTTCTAGACTTTGATCCACAAAGATCTCTTCTTGTGGTTTTGCACTCATTTTTTATGGTTCTTCGACAGCTGACACAAAGGGACGTTGGAGATATCTTCAGTGAAGCATCTCATGAGAGCCAAGTTACAGTAATCAAAAGGAAAGATTCGTGTAAAATTATTATTACGATTCAACAATGGCTGAAGGTACCTTGTTTCATTCTTGATGTTCCTTGTTCTCTGAGGTCGTATCGGAAGATTTTTCCTCAACAAACCTCACAGACTTTCTATTCGATCTATTCAAGTCTTCGAGTGATGAAGATTTGTTCATTCCATCTAGAGATTGTGCACTTGCATTTCTAACCATTCCTTCAACTCCAATTAAAAATCTTCTCTTCATCACCTCAGCATTTAGTCTTTGTTTGGCCTCTGTTAATTTTTCAGATGGTGAGTAATACTTTAAATATCCATCCCAATTTAAGTTAATTAATTTGGCCTTCTTTGCGATCATTTCTTTGACTCGTTCAGTAAATTGAATAGCATCTTCATTTGGTAACTTTTTCTGTGGTTCTAAAAAGTAAACATCAACAGCCAAACACCATGATTTCATAATACGTAAAATGTGGACAATGAAAGATTCATCACGACTGCTCCAATATGGATCTGAATAGGATTTGTTATACTTGATGGCAATAGGGCAAATTTCGACATCCTCAATTTCAAAAACTCCCTTCTTGAACATGACACAATATTCATTATTCACACAAACGCCTTCAGGGAAAATCAATAAGGGTGGATTACTAAGATCGTTAATATGATCATAAATTCTTTGTGATGTCGCTTTTCTATCTCTTGATTCAAATCTCTCAAACCAAATATTCTTCAAAGGACTCACGACCTTGTCCTGCATGAAGCCAACAAATCCACCATGCTTTTGACCAACGGTAGCAACACCACACAAATAAGTTAATAAAATAAAATCAATAAGAGACGTGTGGTTCGCCACATAGATCTGATTTTTTCTTCTCACTGGAGGCACACCATGAACTTTGATAACACCAGACATGGCATGTACCCAAACAGCACTATAGAGCTGAAGTGACTTTCTCACCAACCAATCAAGAGTACCAATTTTTTTTGGTTTCTGTTCACTTGGAGGTTCTTTGGATGTTGCATCCGAAACGACTGTCGAAGGTTTTTGTTGTGGTTTGTTATTGCTTCCTGCAATGTGTCTCAATGCCATCAAAATAAGTGTCACTAAAATGAAGATGAGAGTTCCTGTTAAAAAGAATAAAAGTCTCAATGGAAAAAGAATCACATAACGAACAATGAGTACAATCAACCATCCAACAAACAAAAACAAATTCCAATTCCAAGGTTCTGGTGGTTTTGGACGAAAGCACTGATATTTTGGAAAATTTGGAAAATTATCAACAACAACAACACTCAAAAAATACTCACCTCCGTGAAATCATCTCTCGCGATACTTTCTGCTGCTTCTTTTGTACAATGAATGACATCCATCAGTGTTAATGGTACAGCATGTTGTACTTCATTTCTATGAGATCGTACTTTATCTTGTATTTCTTTGATCACTTCCTTTTCGATCACTCTAGATATTTCAAGGCTAAATCCATCTTCATCTTCCGTGGACATAAAGAAACCACTGGCTGATTCGGATAAACCAAAAGGCAGAGAATGAGAGGTAGAAAGGGGAGAGGTTAAAGTATCTCGAGCCAGTGAATGAAATTTATTCCGATCATTGGGATCATGATAGTGTTCGCCTTCCGTGGTTGAGGTGGAAGCGTTTGCTGTAAAGGCTTGAGCCGTCATCGGAGACATCTTGTCATCCTGAGCAACAGAGGACTTGCTCATTTTTTTGAATCCATCCGATCGAACTGCGGGAATACAATCTTTGAAGGTGGGCGCCATTTCATTACAACTTACGAGGAAGGAAAAAATGAACAAAAATGTGTCCTTGTTTTCATCAGAGAAAGCACATCAAGAATACAAGAAAAATACTCTTGAAGAGATTCCCAAGCTTTTGAGGGCAGTCCTATTCCGAAATGAGGATTGTCTGGGAGTTTTCAGCGACCACACAGCCATTTTGTTGTGCGAAGAGGCCTCTACTTTTTATTACTTTAGTAACATCTGCCCATCGGAGAATGAGTATGAGATCAACAAGATCCTCGGTGAGAAACAGCCCTCCTATGAGTTTCAACTTACAGCCTTTGTTCAGAACAAAGGGAAAGAGCAAATCAAACTCAAGCTCAATCAAATCTTGAGGTTTTTTAATTGCCATGTTGAGAGCCCATACCTCTGTGAACAAGTACTCATTCAAAATGGAATCAAACGAATGTTTGAATCCCAAGTAATGATGACAACGGTTCAATGGAAATACAATTCAGATTTTGTAACGTTTAACAAAGATGGTTCTGTGACATTGAAGAGTGTCACTTATCCAGATTATGTAAATATTACTCTTGCTCCAAACGGCGTGCTCTTCAAAGTTACTTTCCCAGCACTTGTTCATTCTCGGTAGGTTGTTTTGAAATCATCAGTGTTGATCAACAAAGGTTACATTCTCATTAGAAACCAAGACAAATTTCATTATATACTTCAAGATCAATTATTCTCCATTCATTACTATCCTTGCGTTTGGGAAGAAGCTTTAAAAATTGTACTTTTTTACTACAAACATCGAATGAACCGACAAGACACTCCCATTAACAATGAACATACAATTACAATCAATTTGCCTAAAACAAAACCTCCATTAAGGAAGCAAAACAGCATCCCAACAAGTATAAGCATTCCTTCACTGGCTTGTGTTTTCAATACTATTTCCGCTCATCCTCTCAACCAAAGTTGTGTCTCTTTTCTATCATGTTGTCTCGGCAAAAATAATAACATCTTGATCGAATATAATGAATATATGACATTGAAATACTTAAGAAAGGTAACTGAACTTGTGTTAAATAAGGAAGAATATTGTTTCCTTTCGGACAACTTTACTTTTCTTAAATACTGGACATACGACCCTACCTTTGAAAAACAAATTTCAAAAGTATATGATTTAAATTTATTACCTGAGGAGATTCATCAATTTTGCGACAATACTCTTGGAAATGTAACCATTGAATCCTCAATTCCACTTCAAAAGCTGACAACTTTGATGAAATATTTCTTTCAATCATGCTCTAAAATTGACGATAACACCAAGGGTGTCGATGATTTTCCTCGTTCAAATATCTACTCTTCAATTCTCATCACCAAACAAACACTCAACAACATTGGATGCTTTGAGATGTATGCTGATAAAAGAGTGAGAGCAAAATTTGATGACCGAACCATTGTGGAAGTTCAAGAAAAGGACCCCAACACGTTATTCATATCAATACTCTCTTCAACAGCTGAAGTATCTCACTTCTTTTTGGACAAGGATTCCAAAGTGCCAGTCTTATTTAGAAGTTACATTGATATTGTTTTGGAGTTTAGAAAAGAATGTCTCAAGACTGAACAACAAAAACACATGGAAAAGAGACAGGTTATTGAGCTCGGAAAAATAATTCAAGATTGTTGTCAGTCTAATCAGCTGTTTCTCGCCATTAACCAGTTCAAAAGCAAACAAAACTTGACCAAGCCAATTCTTTGAACAATAATAAACCAGCGAGCTTGGAGAAGTTGGTTTTCAGGATCTCTTTTCAAATATTAAACATTGACATGAGGCAAGGAACATTTTCATTTATCTCTCCTCAAAACTCCTCCTTCCAACTTGGTCCCTCAAGTCAATCTTTCCCAACAAAGCCACACTACGACATCGCTCTCGTGTGCTTTGGACAGCATTAATTTCGAGAAGGTGATGATGATGTGGGAAGTGCTCACATCGAAGGGAGATAAATTCACCACAAAAAAATTCAAATCAACGACGAAGTCGACGTTAAGTCTGTGCAGCCACATTAATAGCTGGTCCTCCTCCTCATCATCTCATCACCATTAAAAGACCGACTGGCAGCACTATCATTTATTCTCGACGAGTGTAGAAGAAATACTCCTACATCAAACATTGTTTCAGTAAATTGAAACTCTACAAGTAACGTATAACAGAACACATATAATTTGGAAAGACTCTTCTTCCGTATCAACAACATCTCCAAAGCTACAAATCATCATCATGGGTCAGAACAACAAGAGGCTCAACGGAGCTCCAGGTCCAACCAATGTCTCTGCAAATAGTATGAATGGTGGTGCTGGTGGACATATGAACGGTCATATGCACTCCATGAACACTTCAGGTTTTTCGAATCAACAAGTGGCACAAAATCAAATGTCATACCAACACACCGATCACAATAACGGATTTCAATTTGAACAAAATAGTCAATCGAATATGATTTACAGTAGTGATTCCCACAAAGTAACGTTGGATGATTTTGAATTACTCAAAGTTATCGGACAAGGCAATTTTGCAAAAGTGATGCAAGTGAGGTGAGTAGTAGTATTATCAATGACAAACCCTTTAATTATTGTTGTTGTTGTTATCGTCATTGGACTGTCTCTTCTAAATATACTTGTACTTTCACGGGTTATCTCTCATATCGATCTCAACTACTTCTATCCTCCTAACGCTGTGTGTCTTACGGTTAAATCACTGACAAATCACTGACTATACATACATGTGTAACAACATTATGACTACCATGTTGTACATCATTATGCAACGCACCACTGATCTCTCCAACAGAAAAAAAGACACACAAAAAGTTTATGCCATCAAAATTCTAAACAAAAAGAGACTTGAAGAGAGTGATCAACTGGAACATATAAAGACAGAAAGAGCTGTTTTACAATATGTAGAACACCCATTTATTGTAAGGCTGGTTTATGCCTTCCAAACAACAGAAAAATTATACATGGTGATGGATTTTATTAATGGAGGAGAATTATTTTTCCATTTGAAGAAATTGAAGAGATTCCCAGAGGATCTTGTAAAGCTTTATGCAGCGGAGTTATTCCTATCTTTAGATCACTTGCATAGACACAATGTCGTTTTTCGTGACTTGAAACCAGAAAACGTGCTGATGGATAGAGATGGACATGTCATGTTGACCGATTTTGGTCTTGCCAAATTCCTTTCGAACCAAGATAGAACTCATACTTTTTGTGGAACACCTGAATACTTGGCGTATGTATTTAAACTTTTTTGTGGCAAATTTCATCATCATTATTTCAAAACGATAGACCTGAAGTATTATTACAAAAAGGACATGGAAAACCAGTGGATTGGTGGTCTTATGGAACTCTGATTTACGAAATGCTTGTGGGTATACCTCCATTCTATTGTGACAATGTACAAGAAATGTATGATAGAATTCTCAATGGAGAGTTGATCCTTCCAGACGAATTTATTTCTTTAGAGTGTCAAGATTTACTAGCAAGATTATTGGAGCGTGATCCTCGAAGAAGATTGGGAAGTGGTCCAACAGGAAGTGATGAGATTAGAAATCACCCATGGTTTAGTGATATTAATTGGGAAGATGTTTATTACAGAAGATATAAACCAAGATACAAACCAAATGTAAAGAGCGACGAAGATACTAGCTATTTTGATGACGAATTCACAAAGCAAGCACCAGTTGACAGTGTTTGTCAAAATGGTGTTCTGGATGACAAGCTCCAACGAGAATTTGAGGGCTTTACATATACTGAAGCAGGTTATATGATGAATAATAATGGAGAAAGAATTATATCGAACTATTAGTGTTGTATTTTACAACATTGTATGTACAGTATTGTTGTAATTTACACCACTCGTTTAATACAAAATTGATTTATGTAATGTTCAATTATCGTTGACCAGAAAATTGGCTGTTATTGTTTGGAAGATGATATGGGAATTGGAAGATCTAAAATCTCACACATGTACCCAAAAACGTGACATCGTGTAAGAGATCTTCTCATTTCCATAAGAGTAGGACTGAGGGGTTGTACAACTTCCATTGGAAAGGATACTCGTGGTTGTCTATTTGTTTCGAAATTATCTTCTTCCGGTAGTGTTTGAGATTCAAAGGGAGAAGAGGAAAGAAGGAAAGAAGTGTCTTGTTGAGGTGAGGTCATCTCTGCCTCAGGTAAGGTAGTAATTACAGTATCATCATTCATTGGATTTGAGCTGTTGTTGACATTAGGTGCATCAGAAGGTTGCTCCAAAGAAGGATCATTTGATGTTTTCAAATAACTTGTCAGCTCGTTTCGTCTCAACAAGCTTTGATACTTTCGTTTATAACTGTCTGCAGACCTTGGAGCATTTGTATCCAGACAGTATTGCTCAAACGTGGCTAGAGGAGGACATTTGGTAAAGTCTACCACATGTTCCTTGATATAACCAACTAACTCAACAAGCTCCTCTCTTGAAAAATTCTTTTTGTTCTTTGTACAAGCCTTTGATGGAAGGACAACTTCTTGATTGGAGGAAAAACCAACTTTTTGGATTAAAAACTTTTCCACTGCCAACCAGCTTCCCGATGAATAAGATTGATGTACATAAGATGGAAAAACAAGAGGTATGTCTGAAGGGAAACTGTTGTTTCTTGAACTTGAAACTATTAGACTTGCGTTCTCTGGTTCTTCTTCAATCGTTGCTCCGAGTTCGAGAGCTTTAGAAACGACCGTATCAATCTCTTCTTGATCCGAAGCCGAATGAACGTAAATTTTCTTTTTGGACTTGCCTCTGCGACAGCCTTCCGTGGCCTCATTTCAAGTCCAATGAAGATTAAGACTTACATTTGTATGGAACACCTTCGCGTTGTCGTCTTGTAGAGTGTGTTGGATGTTTTGGCATTTTGTTTGAAAACATTTCTAAAAGGCTTTTTGCTCAAAATTACAAAATTGAAAAGATAATTCTTATAAAAAAATGAAACGAGGACTTGTGAAGAAATTACTGTCTTCATCTAATATTTCTCTGTTCTCAGAGGGTGCACACATCGATCAGCGATTATTCTCTACTTGGACCCGATTGAACTCAGCAAATAATACTACATCATCAAAGGGGCAGAATCAAGCCATCGGAGTCAATCAAAATTCAACTCCACAAGAAAAACTCGAAAAGAAGTTGAGCAAAATTGAAAGACTCTTCGGAAAGAGTTCTTCAAGAGCAAAGGATTCAAAAAAGCAAATTCAATCAGTTTCAGAGAAGGAAGTAAAACAAATGATGGCATCACCTTCCTCTCCCAACACCAGCACCTCCTCTCCTCCTCCTTCCAACCATCAAACTCCAAAAAATAATCCCACCTACAACCCCTTGAGCCAATTTCTTGATTCTAGAAATTTGAGTGATCTTTCTCCTGATGAAATTGAAAAATTCAAAGAAACTCTAAGCCCTGTCAAGAAAAGGAGCACCATCTCGTCACCAGTATTGGGAAGTAAATCAATCGTTGAAGGAGAGCATGATGAATCGGCTTTGGAGAAATTAAAGGCTCCATTCTATTATAAAACAATTTTGAGACTCATAGAAAAACAAACCTATTTAACACCAGAAGACAGACATTCCATGAAAGAGTATGTCAAAAAGGAATTTAAGGATAGGAGTAAAAATGTTGAAGAACAATATCTCATTGCAGATAATTTTGTACACATTATGAGAGCTAAAGACCTAAAGAGTGCAAAATTAGCTCTTGATATTTCTGAAGAATCTAATGTCCTCGAAGATTCAGCAGAGTTGACATATTGGAATAATTACTATCAACAACACGGATTTGTTGATGAGTGGTATTGTGACTGGGATTTAGTTAAAAACTTTCTTCCTGAGACCATTCAAAAATTAAAGACAGCTCCAACAAAGGAAACATTGAAGATACTTGACGTTGGCTGCGGACTATCTACTGTTACGTTGAAGTTATGTGACCATTTTAATAAGCAAAGATTTTCTGTCACTTCTATTGATATCAGTAACGTTTTGATTGGTCTAATGAAAGAGCAATATGCTGATATCCCAGATGTTATTGGATTTTCTCAAGTCGATGTTAAAGACATGGAAAAATTCTTTGAAGATAATTCTTTTGATATTATTTTTGATAAGGGAACATTTGATAGTATCATGTCTTTTGATTCATCAACCATTGAGGATATTACTGCTTATGAATCTGAAATATTTAGAGTTCTTAAACCTGGAGGTCTATTTATGCTCTGCAGTGTGACACCTCTCGAAGGAATTGAAGGATTCTTCTCTGGTGAAGCTTGGTCTAGCGTTAAACTTGCAGGTAAAAAGAATCTTCTTGAAGATCACAACAATAAGGGTAGAAAACTACAGCTCCCACAAGATAGTGCCATACAAGATGCCCACATTTACTTTTATCATATCAAAAAACCGAGTCAATAAAAATTCACAAGAGCTTTCTCTTCAAATATATGGATAGATACATTTCAAACATTAATATTATAATAATAAACAAACATGCATTATCAATTTAATTGATACAAGAACATTTGATGACCCCATGTGGTGCCGTATGGGATGATCATCATGCCAACAATCCATTGAAATGATCATCCGATGCGACCAATCCATTGAATCGCGAAGAAAAGTGGTTCTTTTGGTGGTGGTGTTCGAATACATCACGTAAAATGACCTTTAAAAAAAATGCCAAAACGTTCCAAAATTGAGTAAGTGCACTTAGTGGTTCAACTTGAAAATTCATTTTTGAATAACTCTTCCGGAACTGATCACCCATTTGATGATACTCTCTTGTCGTACGGATTTCGGAATGAACCAACCTCTTCTTGTACCTCTCACACTCTTCTTATTGATGAACTAGACGAAAGAAACAAATATTAAATGAATTTATTGAGGAACAAAATTCTGAATCCATTAAAAACCATGATTCATCCTTCATGAATGCCAACCCTATGATGAAGCCTCTTTCTCCTTCCGATCATCAAACAAATTCTCCCAAAATTGAAAGAATGAAAAAATCATCCTCCAACTCATTTTCTTCTCATCATGATGATTCGACAAATTTCGCACCAGAGGAATCTCTCAATCCAATCCTGAACAAAATATCACAAAATATTCATCCTATTACTCATTGTGTATCAAATGATTTACCATCTCTTTTACAAGATGCTCATCAAGCGTTATCATCGTTTCTTTCACATTCTTTCAAGACTTTTTCAAATGACTCGATCATGATTGTTGGTCCAGGAAAATCTGGAAAAAAACATTTAGTGAAATATACTTTAAATAAGCTCAAAGAAAGTGGAGAATATTCATTTAGAACGATCTATGTGAATGGAATTCATATTGCTTCAGATTCTCAATTATTGTCATGCATATTGGATTCATTGGCACTCGAACAACAAATTAATACAAACATTGAAACACTCTCATGTTGTGATCAAGAAGATCATTTTGATGAACAAGCAACCTATGTTGAGTTTTTAAATGCTTTAAAAGATTTCACAAACCAAAGTATTATTTTCGTTTTGGATCATTTTGAAAATTTATGTCGACAAGCTGGAAAAATGCTTTATACTATCACTGATACATGTCATGAACATAGACTGAGTATTGTAATTATAGGACTTACCACCAATGCTTCTATTGGAACATGTATGGATCGAAGAGTGAGAAGTAGATTCTCATCAAGAAGAATTTACACACTTTTACCAAGAAATGCTCTTCAAGTATCTCAAATTATGCAATACTATTTATCACTCTCATGTAATGACAGTGATCCTTCTATTGAAGAGTATAATCGTCAACTCCAAAATTGTCTCCTAGATCCAGATGTTGTACAAATATTTGAAGAATGTGTGATACAAAGTAGTTGTAAATTTATTTATAATTATGCATTGAAAATTTTTGAACAAATTCAACCTACTCTTGAGCAATATCCATTACCAGAGAATTGTGTAATTTTTACTCCAAACGTATTTATTAAGGCATTTAATGTATTGGTGAATCATCGATTGAATTCCAAGTAAGTGAAACAAACATATAACATAATATCACACTTGTTCATTTACATCTATGATGTGTGTTCATCATCACCTATATATTTTTTTTTGCAATCTTTTATCATCATCCATATATGATGATCTATTGGTTTTTGATGATATGATGATCTATTGATCATGTTGGATCATATTGTAATGGTGATTTATTGATTTTTGATGATCTAATGATTTTGGACATTATTTAAAATTTTGATTCATTTGAACAATTTTAATGATCAACAGATTGTCATTCATTCCAAGACTCAATCAATGTCAACTCATTCTCCTATGTGCCATCAAGAAAATGGAGTCTCTCTATTCATCGAATAGAACTTGTTCCATCGATATTAACTTTGAAACAGTATTCAATGTTTATATGAAATTTGCCACAGGTGGAGCACAATCTTCGAACATTAGACAAGAGCATGTCTACACAGAAGGAAGGACACAAATTCAATTAGACAAACAAGTTATTTTCCAATCCTTTCTCTCACTCATCGATTTGAAAGTGATACATTTTGTGAGTCACAAACAAATTCCAACAACAAGAAAAGATCAATCCATTACGAAAGTGAGATTGAATCATATACATCCTTCTCAAATTGACAATGAAATTGAAAGATTATTTAAGGAGAATAGATTAAACACGATGAGTTCTGAAATGTTGGAGTGGAGTAAGTCCACTGTGTTATAAGACTTCTTTCAGAGGATGAGACAAGACAGATCAACTAGTAACTAGTTGAAATATTTATTTACATACATTATTGTGGTATTTAGAATCTCGTAGTAGTCTATTAGTAGGATTAGGTTGAATAGTAGTAGTAGTGGTGTCTAGACTCGCAAGAGAAGGAGTGTTCTTTTAGACATATTGGCATCTCTATTCTTGTTCATTCAATATGAATTGATTGTAAAGATAAAGGATAAATTTTGGCAAATAGTTTCGTATCGATCAAAGTAAAGTAATCCTTCGGCCATTTACAAAGTCCAATTTCATTCTTCAAGTCATAGAATCTTCGTTTCACCGTCGATAAACTACAACCAAGGACTTGACATGCCTGATGTTGAGATAAATGTAAGACGGAGAGCATTTCTTCCTTAGTGATGGATGAGCTTGTTCTTTTTCGAATGACTTTACGTTCTCCTTTGAAATCGAAAGGTTGGAAAATGAAGGTTGTTGTTGGGTTAGAGGACCCATTGGGTGAAATGGTTGAGAAACATCTGTTTTTTGGTGGTGGTGGTGGTGGTGGTGGTGGATGGTGGAATCTGATACAAGTCCAGTTTATTGTGGCTCTGGTACCTGAGGTGATGGTAGTCATTGGTGAAGATGCTACTACCATGTCAGGCAAACGAGGGGATCCTGACACAACTCTCTTGGAATTAGTGATCAATACGTCTTTTCTGTTTTTGGGTTTTGAGTGGGTGGTGAGATCATTCTGGCTGTGATCCACATGGAATGAATCCACCCTCACCACCTCTGAATATTCTCTTCTTTCTCTCTTTTTGGAAGAAGTGTTCAGTGTTGTTGTTGCCTTAGGAGGATGAAAGGACTTTTCATGACAACTACTCGCTCGCAGCATATCATGATGACCATTGGGAATCCTTGGATCCATAACAACACCACATGGATGATGAAGAGTGTTGTCATGTCCGTGATGATGTTGGTTAATTGTTGTTTGGTCAATATGAACCATAAGATGAGAATCGTCATGAACCACAAAATGGTGAGGTGTGCTATTCATCAACGGTATTTGAGAGATGCCACAAGAGTGAGGATGCTAATTTTTAAAGTGTTGTATTCTGTTCAAAAGTGTTTCAAAATTGTTGACCAAGTCAAAGAGATGAAACGAGTCAATCTTTCAGAATATGATCTTTTCTACCAACCTGAGAGGCAAAACTCTTTTGACACAAATGGAAACCCTGTCCTGCGCATAATTAAAAATCTCTGACAAGATGACATTTCAGAAAATAGATCTATAAAGTATCATTTTTGCCAAGTGTGTCTAATTTGTTGAATGAAAACCAAAATGGTAATGATGATCTACAACTCACTTTATCATTTCCAACCAACACAACGTTAACGTTAAATAGGTAGGTCATGATGCCACATTAGGTCATGATGCTCTCAAGTGGATCCATTTCTCCTCCTCCTCCTCCAGTATACTCCTCCTCCTTATTATTATTATTATGATCCATATCTATCTTTCTAACTATCTTGTTGTTGTTGTGAAAGAAATAATTCTTTCAAACATTCTTCCACTTGTTTTAAACGTTCTTCTTCACTCCATCCAAGTTCTTTTGCCATTAATTGAGATACTCTAGGAATGACTTGCTTTGAAACTTTAGTATCAATAAAGAATAATCTTGTTCTTCGTTGAATAATGTCACTGATTTTTAAGGCATATTCATATCGAACGCTATACACCACTAGTGAGTGATTAAATATGAACATTCACAACATTCACAACATTCACAACACTTACCTTCAGCTTCAATATAGGGATAATGAGGATCAAGTCTTTTCAATAACTGTTCTTCGAGAGCAATCTTTTGTACCAAATATCCTTGATCACCATAGGCATGATTCAAATGTTGAGAAATATCCAATTCTTTAATGAATTCATTCAACACACGATCAAAGGTGGAATTGTATTCTTCAGAGCCATACAATTGAAGAGTATGAGTCGTACAAGTAGTAGTAGTAGTAGTACAAGTAGTAGTAGTAGTGTGTGGATGAGTACAAGTATTAAAAGTACAATTCCTGATGGATTCATGTTGAATGACTTGTTGCATGATATCCATGGCCATGGATCGGAAAGTGGTCCATTTGCCTCCAACAATGGTGAACAAACCACTTGGTGAGAACATTGTTGGAGAATGTCGAGTGAGTGTTGAATTGAAAATGTGCGTTTGATAACATCATTAAAAAGTGTGTCAATAGATTCAGTGTCAATATAAAAATTCACATCCAATGTCTTGTTCTTCTTCTTACCTTGGAGAAGTATAAATGGCATGTTCTCTCGATATCGATGCAGTATCCAATTTGATATTCTTTTTTACAAATTGTTGTTGTTGTTGTTGTTGGTTGTGGTTGTTGTTGTTGTTGTGGTTGTGGTTGTTGTTGTGTAAATGACTCAATGGTCTTATTCCAGCCCACACTGCCTTGACATCTTGTCGTGTCACTTTCACATTAAAATATTCATTCACATGATCCAACAAGTATTGAATGTCTTCTTCTCGAGGTTGTACATGATTGGATATTCCATTCTTATTGAATGAATCTACTACTAGTTTGGAATCAGTAGTTCCTACAAGAGTATGATTTAAATAGGGTAATAAAAAGATCACTCGATGATCTCTTGTTTTTGGAATGAGTAGACCTTGATGCATGGATGGAGGACAAAATTGACCATCCAATACAATATGAATACCCATGGATAATTCTAATATCTTGTTGTTCAGAGTGTTCAGAGTGTTCAGAGGGTGATGATTCTGATGGTGATGATGATTCTGATCATTCTCCATGAGTCGAATTTCATCTGCAAAGTGACCAGCAGCATTGATCACTACTTTGGATCGAATGGAATAAACCTCTCGTGTTAATTCATCTCTCACGACTACACCTTTAATGAGAGATGATGGACCATTGTGTTGAGAGTCATCATGCTCATCATCATGTTCTTGTTGCTGAGAGTCATCTTGTTGTCGAACATGTTCTTGTTGCTGAGAGTCATCTTGTTGTCGAACATGTTCATCATTCTCACCATGTTCATCATTGAATAAAAATCGAATGACTTTGAATCGATTCAATGCCACCACTCCATGTTGTATAGCAGTTTGAATCAATGCCAAATTCAAACGTGCATCATCAAATTGACCATCATGATACACCATGGCACCTTTCAATTGTTCATGTTTTAACATGGGAAAGAATTCCAATGCTTGGGATGCACTCAACAAGTAACTTGGCGCCAAATGATGAGGAAAAGCCATCCAATCGTATAATTTCAATAAGAAATAAGTTGGAATGAATTCACTCCATTCATAGAGAGGTGTAATGATTTGAAGAGTATTGGTTAAATGTGGTGCCATGTGATTCAATATTTGAAATCGATCATGAAGAGCTTGTTTCACTAATTTGAATTGAGAAAGATCAAATTGATTCAATGCTTTACGAAGATAACGCACACCACCATGTAATAATTTAGTGGATTTGGAACTTGTTCCACTTCCAAAATCTTCCATTTCAAAGAGTGCTACTTTGAGAGAATGAGAAGCTTCAAGTGCAATACCACTTCCAACACAACCACCACCAATGACAATGACATCGAAAAGTGGGTGTTGATTGGGGTTTGACATGTTGCTATTGTTGGGGTTCACTTGAGATGGATTGGAGTTGTTAAGGTTCACTTGAGATGGATTGGAGTTGTTAAGGTTTATACTGTTAAGGTTAATATTGTTGAGGTTAATATTGTTGAGGTTGGACTTTTTGTGGTGAGGTTGTTGTTGAAATTGTTTTAATTGAGCAATGAGTTGAGATCGAGTGGGAAGTGCATACAAGGAACGTGTTCTTGTTGTTGTGGAGGTGTTCATGGTGGTAGTGTTGAGGTTGAATTGACCTTCTTGTTGTGGATAGGGAAGATAGATTTTATATCCTTTCTTCCAAAGTGGTGATGGTGAAGATGATGTTGAATGTGTGTGGATTCGATACGATTCATTGCAAGTGATGATCAAATGCATCTTCATCAATAATATGGATGGTAGGTGAAGGATCGAGTGAAAGATATTTGACACGAGTGACCACCACGATGATGGTGTTCTTCTTGTTTCGACATCTTGAGTGGTCATCCTTGAAGGTGATGTCCACAACAAGATCGTGTTGGAATAGTAGTCGTACCCTCCGACGATGAGGAACATCAAGGTCAATAACACAGATAGCATGATGAAAAGAAGGAAGGAATAACACGCAGGTGGTGAAGAAGGTACACATTTCGACATTTTTTATCTCCTATCTATGGATTTCTTTTGGAGATCTTTTTATAAGAACTATATAAGGAATTTTTGATGTCATGCACACATGAAACCATTCCAGCAAATTCTATCAGACCGATTTGATGGATAGTAGCATGTGCACCTATACAATTGTCATTTTTATTCAAAAGAAACAGCTGAGAATCTATCTTTCACAAAACATGCAGTATCAGACTGAATCCGTGTGGGTTGCTTGGATGTACCGTGTGAAATTATAAAATTGCATGGATATTGAAGACATGCCAAGTCAGAAGGAGAGGGAAGGTAGGCCTTATTTTCTGACGAAATGTGTAACAAGTCATCCCACTTCAATAATCCATAGGGTATATTCTCATATCCAAGAGTTTGTTTTGCCTTCTTATTCCACAATAAAAGTCTTCCACCAAAATCCAGTGAATAAAATGCAATGCAAGTTCCACACAAATCTAAAATACCTTTGATGTACATTTCAGAAGCTTCACTGAAATCTCCATTGTCATTTACAGAATTTACAGGATGATGAGCAGAAGGTAAGATCCCAGTTCGTGCACGGTTCATGTCTTGAATTTCATTAGAAATCGAGTGATAACCAACAGGACATTTCGTAAATGGATTATGTTGTAAATTTTCAAAAGATTGAGTGTTATCGAGATTGAAGATAGATTTCAAACTTGGAAGAGAAATGTTTGTGATGGATGGAAGAGATTCAAGTTGTGGAGGCGGTGTTGGTAATGGACTGTTTTGTGATTGTTCTTTTCTGAGAATAAGGAAAGGACATTTTGAAGATCCAATTGAAATGTATAAACTTTCTAACTGCTCGATAGCCTCCTTATTTGTCTTAGTTCTCGTAAAATCATCTATGGATTTACCATTTTCAATTTGCTTTAAACTATAATTAATGTATTCTTCAAGAAGAGCCCAGAACTGATAGTTAACATCATCATCTGTCATTAACTTGTGAATGATATATGCTTTTCCATCCTCAGCATTGGGAGAGGGTTTAATTTCTGAAGTGGAAAGCCATTTTCGAAGAAGAGCAATTTTTGAACCTCTTGTTGATTCTTCAGTGTTTTTGTTATCTATTTGAGGATTTAATGGAGCAAGTCTCAAATGATTGTCAAGAGGAGGTTGTTCAAAAGACATCTTGGTTCGTTTGAAAGCGGAAGTAAAATTGCTAACATGTGATGAGGTGTGATTAAATGGGCATTTCGATGGTTCTTGTTGCTGTTCCGAATTGATCATTGTTGGAATTGGATGCGCTTGTAAAGATGAAACAACCATTGATGGCCTACTTGTTGGTTGTTGTTGTTGTTGTTGATGAAATGGACATCCTCTTGAATGAAGAAGGCTTTGTATGGGCTGGGTGGATGTTACTTTTGGTTGTTGCATACCACCAGGGCACGCTATAAAACTAGCAACTGGACAATGATAAATGCTGTTGGAAGGAGTGATAGAAACAGCACTAGTCGCAGAAATTGATCGTAGTGGTGGATGAACAAGAGATGTGGTGTGTGGCGGATGAATAGAAGAAGGCTTATGATTGGCCAACAAGGTGCGTTTTTCCATGTTGCTTGGAGCAATTGGTTTGTAATTAAAAGAGGATAGGATATGATGATTCGTGGCTGAGGTAGGCTTCTTGTGAGTTGTTTTTGGTTGAATACGGACATGAGGTGTTGGCTGATGAGAAGGAAGAATTAGTACTGACTGTTGTTGTGATTGAGCAGTGGAGACTGTTGTTGATGTTGGTGGCTGCTGTACGAATTTTCGTTTTCGTCCTCTCTTCTTGCTGGGCAAGTCATAACATTCCAAACCAAGTGATGTACTGTTGGTGTTGTTGTTGTGCCATTCGTTGTGATACTAAAATGTTATGTTCACCACTTACCATCTGCAAGAAATTGATCGTTTACAATGGTGTAAGAAAGTTATGAAAAATCTTACCGTTTGCATGGTCTCTTATCTGATGAATTCCAGTAAAATACCATATTTGTATAATTAATAGTCAAATGATGATAGTGGTCGGAATGGCATCCAATGGTTTTGCAATAACAAACCTTCACAACAAGCATGGCTTTTTTTGCAATGTTCGCAAGCTTTTTTAGATATTGAACGTTTCCTTGTTTTCTCATCACTACTTGAATCCCCATGTTCTTCTTCGTGAGGGGAGTGTGGTGGTGGTTGAGTGTTGTTGACGGAGCTATCAGTATCGGTCATTTTTTAGGAATAAATTTTTTGCCACCAAATCTCCGCAAAGTGTTGTTTGCAGTTTTCATTCTAAATTAATTGTTTTTGAAAAATCATCATGTGAGGCCTTGCTTTCAAAAACTAAATACCACACCAAGTGCAATACTAGTTATCCTAGTACTAGCCTGTCGAATACGACTCGTTTTTATTAAGGATGATAGAATGGCCTCCAAATGAAAATACCTCCCTCCTCTCCAACGCTACATATAAACCTTCCACAAGGGCTGAATTTCACTTTGGTGACATTGTCGGCATGTCCAAAGCCTTGTTGGATGATTTCCCCATGATCATAGTGCCAAACATTCACTGATTTGTGTTTGCCTGCTGAAACAAAGTATTGACCATCTGGATCAATATCAAGTGTGTTAATTTCATCTTCCTCTGCTTCTCTCAATTCTCTAATCGCTGTGCAATCATAGGCATCCCAATAGGTCACTTGTTTGTCTGATCCGCAAGTCAACATCTGAGATTCGTCATTGAGATAGCATATTTGTCTAAAATACGTTTGAGCATAAATAATGTTTGCTCTTACAAACTTATCCAAATTCCATACAATACATGTTCCGTCATCACTGGCACTAATACATTCTGAATCATCTTTTTTGATTTGAATGGCATTTACAGTGGCTTTGTGTTCGTTCATTGAAGCTACCAAAATTTGTGATGTTTTTGTGATTTGCCATACTCTAACTTGACCATCACTTCCTCCACTGACAATTCTTTGAGAGTCATGACTCATGGCAATGGCAGTCACTCCCACCAGTCTTCCCGAAACCTTCTTTTGTCCTAAAATTTTATGAGCATCATTAATGACGTAAAGAAGTTTTCCACTTTGAGGGCCAAAAGCTCTAATTTTACCATCACTCCAACCACTAATGATGGCATTTCCTGTTGGACTAAATGTGATACAATTGCATTCGAGATTAGGGACTTGAATTCTTAATAACTCTTTTGATTTTTGTATATTCCAAACTCTAATATCGTTGATAGAACATGTGGCAATGATTTCGCTTGCTTCTCTTGGGTAGCATACATCATTGATTCTGTGGTTATGACAGGTTGCAATCAAGCTGGCTTCAAGCTTTCCGGATCCTTTCATAGAATAAATGACCGATTGGTTTGTGCCACAAATGAAAGAGTTGTCGCTTTCCTTGCAACAAATTGAAGTGACTCCTCCCATTAAAAGAGTTGAAGTAACCTTGAGTAAATTATCCTTATTCACAACTGTGACACTACCATCACCACCTCCAACAAAAATAGATTTACCTGAGGGTGAAAAGCACAAACTGAGAACTCCTTGCATGATCTTGTCCTTTGGTCCTAAAAACTTATAATTTTTAGGTCCCTTTAGTTGAATGCATAGAATATCTCCTGATGTAGTTCCAACGTAGGCATAACTATCATCTAGATCAATTAACAGACTCGTGAAAATTCTCTTGATTTGGCCTAAATTACAGTCTACAAAATCTAATCTCTTATTAACAAAATCAATGGTGTAAACTCTACACATTTGTTTGCCAGCCATCATAAAAGTGCTTCTGTCATTATGGAAGAACTGGACACAAGTACCGAGAGCAGTTGTGTTGGTACCACAGATTGGCTTTCCGCTCTGAACATTCCAGACAGTAATACAATTGTCATCCTTTCCTCCTACGCTGACAAGTAACTCTTCGTCGTCGCTAAAGGCAAGGCATTCTACCTTGGCATGGTGCAAATTTAATCGATGCATCAATTTTCTTTCTTCAAAATCCCAAACAATGATATCTGCTTTGAATCCCATATGGGTGGATTGACCAGTGGCAATATATTGACCAGATTTAGAAACTGCTATACAACTGATTGGTCCCGAATGACCAGCTAGGAATTCATCAACTCCAAGGTTAGCATATTCTTTAATAACAACTGTTGATCCCAGGGGATATATAATGTGCTTCTGATTCGGATGTAACTGAAGACCATCTGGGACTAACCCATTAAACCCAATCACGGTATCCAGATACAATTGAGAAGCTTGAGAGGAAGACATGTTGGTAGATGAATGAATTTGTTTTTTTTTTGTAAAGGAAAATGGCGCCACAACATTACCCGCCAATTTCAGTTGCGTTCAACAACAATTTGTGCATTTCAACAAAAATGTCCCTCCGAAATCATGATGACTCAACAACAGCCAACAATAAGAACACTGAACAACTTTTTCACTCACCATCATCGGTACAACCATCTCTGAGTGAAAAATTAAGTATTGTGAATGAATGGCTTACCTATGATTTACTTCAACAAGATATTCCTCCATTTGAAAAGAATGAAGTAACCATCCATTTGCTCTATCAACTAGTACTCTATAGCCGCAAGCAATCTCTCCAATCCAACACTCTGATGAATCATTACAAACAAAAAATTGTGGAATATCAATCGGAAAGCAAAAGGATGGAATATCTTCTCAAATCATTGCATTTGTCATCCTCATCATGTCAATCCGAAGATTTTGGTGTTCCGAATAATAGCCTTCACTCTCATCATCATCACTCTCGGAATACGAGTGATATTTTTTCAAGCCACCAACATGATCGTCCATGTAATTTCCAATCCAAGAGGAGCGATCAAAAACCTTCTTCTTCTTCACCACCACCACCACCACAACAACAACAACAACTCAACGACTCTACGATCATCAACAGGTTAGCTGAATTGGCATCCCTACTCCAACTCAAAAAACCTTCTCAATCATGTTTCATGGATGCTCTCTACGATTTATCGAATGAACATTTACAAACATTACAAGAATCAAACGAGTTGAAGCATACCATTCAAGATTTATCCAAAAAATCTATTGAACACATTCAAAAAACACAATACCTCAATGAAATTTATCAACAATTTAATCAAGAAATTCAACAACGAGAACATGAAGATAGTCTACAAGAACGTTTATCAACTATTGAGTACTTGAAGAGAAAATCTCAAGAATATCAATTTCAAATCACTCAATTACAACAAGAACTTGATGAATCTCTATCAATTGCAAACGATATGGACATTTCTCAATCCTTCTTGATTGAAATGTACCACAAGATACAGAATTTAAAGAAAGAGATGACCCCTAAACTTGCTATCATTGAAAAGTATCATCACTTGCCACCCGATGTACATCAAGTCAAACTAGAAATTTCCAATGTCAAACAAGAATTGAAACAATTAGAAGAAATTTTCAATCAAAAAGCTCAACATATTTGGTTTGACTAGTATAGTTAGAGTTCAGACTACATGTCGAGTCGGGTATTATTACCATCGCGATGAGGCTAGAGGTGAAATTCTGATAATTTTTGGCGCCAAGTCTTTGACAATCGTACTTGGAAAAAAATTTTTAATATTTATTAATAACGACGAAGAAAAAACACCATTCAAGATCTTTTCATGGCCATGGCGGACAGCTCAGAGTGGGATCTTTCATCGCCTCAGCATGGAAGATATACCTTATCCACTCATATCAACCATGAAATAATACCACCCATTACATCTTCAAAAACAACTCCAAATAACAGAGTGGACAAGTTCCGAAACAAAAAACTTTCTATTGAGCAAATCAAGCCTATTACAAGATCAGAATCGGCATCATCATTTGGAATATCTCTTAAAGTGGCAAATTATGGAAGAAACTCTGTACAATCATTTACATCAGGTGGTGGTAGTAGTACATTCGGTACAACTTGTAAATCCTCATCCTCCTCCGAAAAACGACCCCGTACAGCACCAACACGACAGCCAGGATATGAAAAGAAAGTTTCTTTTACTGAAGCACAAAGTGAGAGCAAAAATCAATGGGGGCCAACAACCACCTCAGCACAGAAAACAAGTTCAGGAAGAAGAACACCAACACTCTCTCCCAATTTTGTTGACTATAAGAGATTTGTTAAAACGTTTTCTGAATCCAAATCTACAACAACAACAACTTCTAATCCACTAAATGCGACTACATTGAGTAGTGGGAAAATGAAAGCACTTTCAGTGGAAATGGAAGTACATCTTTTAGAAAATGTTGAACGATTGAAAGAAATAGAAGAAAATGAATTTGTTTTAAGACAAAGATACAAACAATTATATTCTGATACTTTTGAGGAAATCATTAAAGTTTGTCCATTTGGAAAATTATTACGAGTTATTAAGGATGCCTATGACAAGGATGCTCTTATCGCTGACAAAACACAGTAAGTATCCAAATTGAAAAAGCAAACGAATGAATGTATGGAACATTAATTCAAGAGAGAAGCAACATTATGATGAGCTCGTCATATTATACACCAATGCACAAAATAACTTGTCACAAATTGAAAAGGAATTCAAATTATTGCAAAAAGAAAATGCTCAATTGAAGAGTGAACTCAAGAAACAGAAGAGTGATTCTCAAAGATACAAAACTGAGATTGAAAGACTTACACAATTACAATCTGAAATTGTGTCAAATGTCAAACCAGAGTTGAGAAATTTATTGAACAAGAAAGAAAAAACACAAAACACTTCAAGGTCTTCAATCCAAAGCTTAACCTCACTAAAGAGAAATAATACGTCACCTAAATCATATCGTCCAGAGACTACATCTGCTAAATCGAGATTATTTAGTCAAGACAAGGAGTAAGTTTTTCAGATCATTGAGAATATGCTTCTTTTCCAACAACATTCTGTGTATCCTTAATAATTATTATTATTTTTAAACATTTCAGAACAATGGAAAGTGATACAAAAGAATTGAAAGAAAGAGACAGATTATTTGAACTTGAAAGTGAACTCACAAAAACGATTTTGAAAGAAAGAGAGTTGACCAGAGAAATTGCCCTAATAAACCTTGAGAGAGAAAAAGACGAGGTAAAGTTGGAAAAGAAGGAAGAAAAATCAGATGGTAACACCTCGAAGGAATCATTCACCGAAGACAACAACAGTTCTATGGATGGCTATACCCAAGGAATTTCGAGGAAATCATCCAAAAACAATCTTCAACAAACGACAACCTCTCAAGGATGTGACAATTTAGAGATGGAGGCATCTCCTCTTGATGAAGAGGAAAATTCGAATTCATTACGAGAAAAGTTATTACGAACAGCAAGACAACAACGGTTGCAGGAGAGTGTTGCTCAAGATCTTGACTACACCGATCCATCCATTGTCAAGAAACAGAATCATGGTACTCCACCCATAGCATCTAACACGAGTGGAAATGCTACAATAACCATGAAAGACCTGAAAGAAAACCTCGCAACCAACACACAATCGATGGAGCCAATCAATCTCATGTTCCGTTCTGATTCTTGTGATTCTTTTTCATTGGATTACGAGGATACGTTGTAATTTTGGTTTCATGAAATTATTTGCAACATGAATAACAAAATTGTTCCTTGTTGTTGTTGTTAATTAATTATTGCGAATTTATTTCCAATTCGGTGCAATCATGCAAGTACACCAAATCCAAAATCAAATATTTCGCATTGGATGAAACGAGGTTTGGATTTCTTCCAATTCGTCTCTTAAAATAGAAGCCTTCAACAAACCAATCAAAGACATCATCGACAATAAATCCAAACTTCTCACAGAGTTCAAATAATGTATGAGGTTGTGGATGAGCAAATAATAACTTGCTATTTTTACAAATAGATCTTGCCTCTGATACCTTATCGAAAAGAGAATAAAATTGAACTCTTTCTGGCTCTGTCATACTACACTTGATATTAATTCTAATGGTGTTGCAAAATCCATCAATATCTTCATCCATGAATTGACTCTCTTCTCTAACCATATGGATTTGTAAATGTGTAATTGGAGTTTTGATATTTTCTATTCTCAATGAATGTCTTTGTTCATATAAATAAATATCTTTAAATTTAAGTTCAAATAAGGATTTTGGAATAAAATCTATCTCTGGAATTTCATCTCTATAAATAATTAATTCTTTGTGAGTAGTAAATACAGGTAAACTTAGATCCATAAATGATGAATATCCTGTTGAAGTCTTGTTCATTCTTTTAGAGTTGTTGCCATAAATTTGAGAAATAATATGCTGTGAAGTTGTAGTTCCAATATTTTTGAAATTATTTTCTAATAATTTACACCATTCTCTTCTCTTTTCTGCTTGATTTTGATCAAAATTAGGATTTGATTCTAATTGAACCTTAATTTTTGAATCATTTTCAATTGTTATGAGTTTGACAAAAATTTCATGATAATTAATGACATCTTCTTCATCATCTTTCATGATATTCTCTTGTAAGAGTAATTGGTGTTGTTTTACATTCTTTAAAAGTCTTATTGGTGGAATGGTAATTCTTTGATTGATGTGAGTGGGTGTTGCAGTAGTGATTGTCTGAGAAGAAGTGAATCCATCTTCACATCCATGTCCTATATCCATCTTGTTGAGAGTATGATCTGGAAGTGGCATGAGGGTGGTCATGCTAGTGGTGGTCATTGAGTCAGCTTGAGAGGGTTGTGAGAGTAATGAAGGTGCTAGTGGTGCTAGTAATGGTAGTGATGAAGGTGGAAGTGATGGCAATAATGCATTCCTTGTCATTTCCTCATGATGATGATTTTCAATTGAACTACTTTCCAATGATGATGATG